TTGAAACAACAAAAAAATTGAGCACTTTCACATTACCTTACATATAAAATGTACGTACGTAAATCTAAGCATTAAAAAAAAAACAAACCAATATTCATTTTTTTTTTATTGCCCTTGTAGGCAGACGAGCATACGGCCATCTGTTGCTGATTGGTTACCGTCGCCCATGGACGTCAGCAATGCCAAGTGCAGAGCGAAACCGCTGCCTACCTGCCTGCCTGCCTGCTCAAAGTTTTAACTCTAACATCGAACCCAAAAAATTCTCGCAAGAATCAATGAACCGAATAATAATTCGTTTTCGATTTTCATTATTAGCACGTGCTTTTTCCGAGTTCGAAAACCCTTATTGTGTTTTTTTTTCCTAGAAATGTGTCGATACAGATACAAATATTAATCGAGGGGAGAAAAGGCTATTTATTTGGTTTAAGCGACATTTTTTGAACTTTACACAAAAAAAAAGCTTCTTCAGCTATTTGAATGGAGTAAACTTAATTGAAGTTCAATTAAAAACCATCGAACTGTTAATGTTGATACCAAATAAAACGTAACTATAATTGAATATGCAATTTCGAAAAGGGCACATCTCTGAAAATGTAAAATGTTCAGACAATGAAAAAAAAACTGATTATTTTCTAAAGCAGCGTAAAATTTAAAATATTAACTTTTGTGATATATTTTTGTGTTAAATAGCAATTGAAAATAACTGGAATTATTATAAACTGGGTGTAGGTAAGCCTCAAAACTACATGTATATGAAAAAACGTATTTCACAAAATATGCGACATGTGCCCTTTTCGAAATTGCATATTCAATTACAAAGATAAATGTCGCTAAAACTAAATACCCTTTCACCTCTCTATTTAATATTATACAAAATAATCTACACTTCCTTTGCCGGCGCGGGCAAATCCAACGCAGATTCTTGTTCAATTAAAAGATTCACTCCCCAATGTCGAAGTTGAAACAAAATCTCACCGAAATCAATCCGTTATCGCGCCTTACTGGGGTAGGTACAATGAGACGATAACGACCCGCCATTCGTATTTACAAAAAAAACAGACTAATCTTTACTGTATCCTCTCTTTTATAACCGTACAACAATTAATGAAAACAATTGTTCTAGAATCTTGAAATAGTGATGGCATTTTGTTTCTTTATATTGCTTAAATGGGTGGACGAGCTCACGGCGCAAGCGATGTTAAGTGGTTGCCGGGGCCCATGGTCATCACTGCGTGAATGCCGCCACTCAGCTTAGAACGTGAGGTCGAGGTCTAGTTTCTACGGTATAATAGCTGCCCCACTCTTCAACCCGGAAGAAGACAGGGCGATGACTCCCACCCGTGACAGGACCCAATCACCATTAAATTAGTAAATAGATGAAAAGAAAAAAAATTAAGATACTTTTGGACGTTTATAACTATATTTGAGACCTTAGAACTTATATCTCAAGGTGGGTGGCGCATTTACGTTGTGGATGTCTATTGGCTTCAGTAACCACTTAACACCAGGTGGTCTGTGAGCTCGTCCACCCATCTAAGCAATAATAAAAAAAAACGTTTAAGCTCATTTGGTTCGCTACCTACAAAAATGAAATGAAAAAGTACATTTTCAGAAATCAATTTTAACCGAAGAATTCAATGTACTCTCTCAGATTGTTTTTTTTTTTAAACAATATAAACAGTCCTTATTCACTTTCAACATACGCAGTTTATCAGTACGCATTCGAGTTCAGTTGTGTGTAATCATTATTTATATAAACATATACATAATTGTATATAAATATCGTGATGTGAAAAAATATATGTATGTGTGTAGAAATTTTTTTAGTATCATTGGTCATTTACATTCGCTGGTCGTTTTAATAAAACCCGCATTTCGATCAATGCATACAGCATACGTCCACGGAATCAGCCTGACGAAATTCAAAGTTCGAATAGTCTAGATTCGATATTTAAAAAAAGAACGTTTGCACTACAAAAATAGAATGTATTTAATTTTTTTTTATTTTTATATATTCCTTTTCTTTCCGGCTCTGACTTCCGAACCGACCGAGCTCGACCCTCGAGCTGTAGCGAACACTTCAACGCACAGGGTTTTATTAAAACGACTTTAATAATATTATTAGTCTATTGATACGCGTTCTACAAGACCGTTTCCTATTTTGGCACTGTACAGTTTTGTTTGTAAAAAAAAAGTAATATATATTTTTCGACACTTTTATCTGTACATATAACACTTATTACGAGTTTTTTAAATTGATACAAAAAAAAAGGACAATCAAAACTTGAAGCTTTGAAGTAAATAATATTTGTTGGGTAAGCTTTTCGAAGACATATTTTAAAGGACAAAGAATTTTCGCAAATTTTATCTGAAGACAAAACAGAAAAACAATATGTATGTGAAAAGTTTTCTTAAAAACACATTAACATTTTATATTACTTTTCTTTATATTTATCTTAAAGTTATATTTCCAATTCCGATGTCTATATAAACGTTCTTCACAATTCCGTCTCGCTCTCACTTGGTGCGTATAAAGGATCACATGAGCGAGACAAGTGATCGATTCAGATTATTAAATTTAATTTTACTTAACACAGAGTCCATTATTATAATAGTACAACCATATTTTATTTTTAGGAACAAACAAATATCTATTTTCCTTTGATTTTATATGCGAATCTATACTATTGTTATATCTAAATACTAATATATTATAGAAGTCACGCGTTTGTGATGCAAATTAAATCAAATAATACTATTTTTATAAGGTTGCCATAGTACTAAAATCAATTTATTTAGTATAATATATAATTTCTACTAAACAAATTATAATTCTACCAACGTCCGTTGGCTTCGTGTCGACGTCACATCCGTTAGCGTCATTAGAATACAATTATTATGCGATACAAAAATAAATAATAGTAATAAATACTGAGGAAAAAACCAATCAGACTAATTTTATGACACATCTCACTTAAATATAGGACGATCTTAACACAATTGATTATATAATATTTAGGCGTTTATTTCTTTCTTTTTAAACTGAAAGACGCTCGCTTAAAGAGACCGAACTTGAATACAATAATTTTTTGTTAACTTTTATAATATTTTAGAATGGTCACACTGGTGGGTGAATGTTGAGATTTTTTCACAGGTTTTTTTTTTTAGTTTATGGCCTGTTCCATTTATCAAGCTAGACCTTTAGGCCATTTCACAGAAGGTTAAGCCCTACAATGTGGCCAAGTTAACAACTCAACTCAATATTATCGTATTAATAAAATCCTTGAAAAATCAACCTTAATATGTACGACATAAAGTCGAACAGCCTTCGCTAGTTAGAGCTCTCCGCGGCTCGAGTTTGACTTTTACATGTTTCAAAACGGAAAAAACATGAAAATTGATAAAGTGTTTACTTCGCAAATCCAATATAAAATAATAATAAAAATTCCTGAGTACTTCAATTTATTTACGACAGATCACAAAAGTAAAATTATCTTTGAAATCAACAATTTTAACTAATAACAGCTTAGACTGTGCCAACGTGAGATAGACATGACATGGTCTCAGACCAAACTCTGAATAAAACGTTTGTATTTTTTGGAATAAGGATAGCCTCGCGACCTCACTGTGATTGCCCATTTTGAGGTCAGAATCTCTGTAACATCGAGGGATGAAAGGCTATTATGGTTTTATGGTATTATGGTTTAAGCGACATTTTTACAACTTTACAGGAGAGCAATTTAAAGTTTCAAATTTAGAAAAAATATCATACTAAAAAACCTTTTTCAGCTTATTGAATGGAGTAAACTTAATTAAAGTTCAATTTAAAACATCGAATTGTTGATGCTAATCTATACGCCGCGGGGCGAAACTAGTCTAAACAAAGTTAAGCCTAAGTTACTCCTTATATCATCAGCTACCTATCAGTGAAAGTCTCGTCAAAATCGGTCCAGCCGTTCCAGAGATTAGCCGGAACAAACCGACAGACAGACAGAGACAAAAATGGTAAAAAATGTTATTTTGGTGTATGTACCATATGCATGTAGTAAAAAGCGGTTATTTCAATATTACAAACAGACACTCCAATTTTATTTATATGTAAAGATTAAGCGTAACGTGTGAAGAGGTACATTCTAAGAAGTGTCAAAGGGGACTTCGTAATTGGAAGAATATATCTGGTCCTCGGACCAAAAGACTTCAGATGATTATTACTAAAGTATCAAGATTATCGGCGCCCTATAAAGCGAGTGTCTCCAGCGGGAAATATCTCACATTTCAAAACATTACACATTAACATTCGTCGTGAGGTAATTTTTTTTAAAAGTTTTCTAAATTTCACAAGCGCTGATAAGACCTATAGAGATTCACTTACGATTACGACATAATTTATATTATTTATAAGGCAATTAACGACACTACATATCATATAGTATTATTACAATTAATTTGAGACGAAGTACTTGCACGGAAAAAGTACTTTTATTAAAAGAAAAAAAAATCATGTTGAACTTTGATAGTTTTGTATATTTTATTCGGTATGCACGTTGTCCGGCGGCCGATAAGTGAAACGTCTGCAACCAAAGTCGGATTTATTTAAATCAAAACTACCCATCAGACAATAGACGCGCGCTTATTACTTTCATTCTGTCACTTATATCCATTGGTTTACAAATGTAGTGTTACATGCAGGAAGTTTATATATAGATTATATATTGTTACGCCGGTAAGAGCAACGCCATCTGTCGTGGAATGACGGAAGCGAATATCAAACGAACTAGTAAACTCGAGAACGCTCGAGAAGTACAACGCCATCTATTGTCAGATAGCGGAAGCGCATGTCCTCGACCCGTCAAGGATGTTCTCGATAATTGTTGAGATGTCCTATAGACTATAAAACCGTTGCAGAGATACTCGAAGCGAAACAGCGAACGGATCGCCTGAAGCGAAGCGGAAGAAGCGAATTACGAATTGTAAAGTGCTCTGTAAGTATTAAATAGAGTTCTAATTTGTACTTCGGTAGAAGTTTTATTTATCCCGAACCCCAGCGCGTAACAATATATAGACCTAACAGTCAACACTACAACAGTCGTTGGTCAGTGAGTCACTGAGGGGTTGCCAGAGAACATGAGTGCATTACTACAATCTCATCAGAAGTCAACTTGTGTTGCCAGCCTCGTTTTCGAATGTAACCCCGCCGCTCTCATATCGTGTATTTTTTATTTCTCTATCTCTACTCCTTCCTGCAGCGAAGCATTCCCGCGTCCTAGTTTCTGTGGAGGGGCTATCGTGCTATAAACATAGCAACGTCAATATCGCCCTCTTGAGACATGAGGTCCAAGCATAAGTATTCGAGGACCGTATGATTACTTAGCTGCAGAATAGGCAAGTCGGTGATACCTGCCGCACCGCTAGCAAGTATATAACCTAGTATTGCCTCGAACGATATTTCAGAGCATCAATCATTTGTAACGTAACACATACCTATATATAAATATAGATTTATTCATACCAAACATCTTCAGTCGACGGTACAATCACAGACACAAAATCGACGCAGCACATACCGAATAAAATTACAAAAGTTTTTTTTTTAGTCACAACAACTTTGCTTACATAAATAAAACTGGTTTCATACTTAGCACGCTAACATTTAACACTTCGATTACGAATAAAAGCACTTTCACCGTACAAATCACAGTGTTGCCATGAGCACGCGCGGCGACGTCCGCTGTCGCTGAAGCCAGGGACGCATCTCCGCAGAAAGGAAGACGGGAGTCCATTCATCGCAGCCAATCAAATTCCATATCGACTACTTTGATAATAACATGCTTCTATTGTTTCACTTCATGATGGACGTCACTATCGATTGACTATAGTGAGGGGAAACACTACTATGTTTAGTCGATAAACATCGACAGGTGCCCGCTCTTTACTATCGACTATACGATGTTATTTGCAAGCGCGCGTTCTGGACGTTTCCCTTCTGCCAAGCCACGCCCGCACAGTGTTGAATGTCATCTTTTGACGAAGACCTTCAGTTTCAGGGCGGGGTGCGATGCGGCCAACATTAGCTCGGTGTCGGCGCGCGGCGTGAGCCTGTGAGCGCTCACACACAACACAATCGCATCCTATCCGGAACACATTTCTGAGTGATCATCCCAAGCTGCGACCTGAAATTATAAAAGTAGCAATAAATTTTTGGTTGACATTTGTTTTTTCTTTATTGCTTAGATAGGTGGACGATCTCACAGCCCACCTTGAGATATGAGTTCTAAAGTCTCAGTTTAGTTACAACAGCTGCTCCGCCCTTCAAACCGAAACGCATTACTGCTTCACGGCAGAAATAGGCGGGGTGGTGGTACCTACCCGCGCAGACTCACGCGAAGACCTACCATCAGTTTGTCATAAGAGCATTATCCCATCTCTTCCCGCGTCTCGTATAGCGACTAAGGAATTCAGCAGACAATAGCATTCTCCGAGTGGGGGTCTGGTAAGTCCACGCGGGCAAATACCACTACCCTGTCTATTTCTACCCGGAAGCAGCCATGCGTTTCGGTTTTAGTTTTGAGACGACAGTTACATTACAGTACAATCCAAACTTGAAACTCATGTTCAAGTAGAATGCTACTTTCGAATCTAATGACTGAAGCGATCATTGTTATCGCTTCAATCTCAAAATCAAATTTAGTTTGCTAAACAAGTGATTTTCAGATTATTTATTTTAAGGAAAATAATACTTTACGAACCTCAATTTAAAATCTATTTTTTGTATACTCTCAAAATATAATTTATTCTTTCTATCACACCCGCTCATTCATCCCTACTCGCGTCGCTCTCGCTATTTCATTACGTGTGACATTTTATAGACCAAATGAAGAGAGAGATAGCCGATGCGATATATGAAATTGCATTTCATATGAAAATTCACATGCTACCTGTTAAATGTTCTATGCCTAATTTGTTGAGTGAACGAGTGACTGAGTGAGTGAGTGAATGAGTGGTTACCTGGCAGTCCCTGCTGCAGTACCACTGGTTGGCGCAGCCGGCGCACACGAACTGCGCGTCCCGGCGCCGGCAGCCCTGGCACAGCGGCGCGTCCTCCGCCCCCGCGCCACCCCCCGCACCGCCGCCCCCCTCGTCGATCACGAGCCGCCCGGACCCGCCCGGCGACCCGCACGGCTCGCCCTCCGATGCTGGGCTCTCTTCATCGTCCTTATCGAAATTAATATTCATATATTTATATGTCGAAGACGGTCATTGGTTGAGTAGCTAAACGACGATTCCCGAGAGATGGCAGCACGATTGCGGTATCGTCGGAACTTGGCTAACTTCGTGCTACGACTGAGCCTAGCCGATGGAGGCGCGTAGACGCCATCACACTTACGAACTAGCGGTGGATAACCTCTCAAGGCTACTTCAACTTCACCCTAACGTATAGGTGAGCTCACGGCGCTCAAACCGGGGGTGTGGCTAACACTGGCCCTAGCAAGAGCCGTGCTTCGCAGAATCTACCACCGGATCGGAAACGCGACCCACTGAGAAGATCCGGCGAGAAACTCAGTGGGCTGTGTCTATGGGTTAATTTACTCGTCGAGCCCTTCGTCCCAAGCGACGAACTTGGCGAGAACGGTGACCGGTGCTTGTGGTAACTAAAAGCACCGTCAATGGATCGGGAGGATCTGTAATGACATCTTTAGGGCGACGTCGACTATTTACCATTCGGTACACAGAATCGGGTATGTAATTTCAACATCAATGTTACCATTACATTACAGCGATGTTTCTAACGTCCTTTCTGGCAGTATAGCTCGGATGAATTCAGTCACTCTACTGTCACGTGTTTGCCCTCCTCGTTGGTCGAGTGGTCAGTGGTGCTAATATTGAAATACTCTCACCAGCTGCACAACTTCTTCAGTCTTGACAAGCGGAGCCTCGGTGGGCGGCGGCGTCGGTTGTACAGGCGTTATCGTTATTTCCCCGCAATTCTATAAATCCATTCCGTTATAAGATAAAAATCGATTGATTAATAGATTAAAACATTTCGTATTCGGTACTGCGTTCACGAAGTTTTGGTAATTTTCAAGATTAAAATATGAGACGGACTTCAAAATGATATGAAATCTAGGTATGTACAGTACCAGACAATAAATATTGCACATCGATATTTTGGAAAGAAACAGTCATCTATTTTTTTTTGTCGGGCGTTACCTGTGTGCGACCAAACACTAACCATCCGGTATCTATGGAGACTAAATGACAATTAAGTAATATGCGACAGATATAACGCTCTACGAAGCAAAAATTAACCGTCTCTTTCTCACGGTCGGTGTGCAATATTTATCGCCCGGTACTGTACTACTTTTATTATTGTATTTATTTAAACATGTATCAATTTGAGGTCAGTTTTGGATATAACCGGTCAAGTCACAAAAACTTGGCAACATTAACGCGTAGTGTTGCCACAGTTACAAAATGTACCATCTACATTTAGCTATTGCAATTGGATGTACAATGCATTATGTAGTGATTATATTTGCGAATAATAAATTAAGGATTTTACACACACGTGTATAAACGAAATATGTGCTTAAGTGCAAATTGTTGTATTTTTGTGTCATGAACGGTCAAATGGATGGATTGGCATATAATTAAAATGAGTATTGCCATTTTTTAAATAGTAATTTTTTAGTACATTTCCCGAAAATGAATTTCTCCGACACAGTTGAAGAATGTAATCTAGTGGATTATTTTATCGTTCTCGGAAAAAATATTCGACCTAAGTGTTGTTTTTTTTTTAATAGATTTTAGCTTATATACAGGGTGTATTAGAACGTCTCACGAATCGAAGGAAGATAGAAAAAGTAGTGGCCATTTCCAAATGGGCAACACAAAAAATCCTATTAAAAAAATATTATATTTACGGTTTCAAGGGATCACTTACGTTAAGCTACATTCAGGGGCCACAAAATACGAAGTAAACAAAACGTATACAAGTATATATTATTATGTAGATTAGTATAAGAAAAATCCTTTTTGCCCTTCCTTCTTCACGAACGGTCTCATTACTACCTGTATAGTTTCAGTTCTGTATTCATGGCAACACATTTTTTATACATCTTCAACTGTCTGGAAGTTAGCTTAAAAAACTAAAATTTTGAATATATTTTTTTTTTTTGAGATCAAGGCCAATCAGCACACCAATAAATAATATGATAGACTTATGTAACTCCAGATACAATTATAAAATTATAGCAAATTACTGCATTTTTAAAGTTTCTTTTTCATTGTACCGCCGGATTCGTCATATAGAAAAACATTGGAAAGTTGCAAATACATTTTCCAATGAAAGTACCAAAGCTATAAGCCTAAGCGCTTAAAGTACTCACGCCTCTAAAACTCAATACGCAAATTGTTCAGAACTTTGGAATACTGTTAAATCAGTATCTGAAATTATTTAATTCTCGCTAAGCTTATATTTCTGAGCTTTTATATCATTATGTACTTATCGTAATAATGCAACTTAGTTTCTCGATTAACCGCTAGAGGCGCTGTAGTCGCCACGAAGCGTATCAAAATGGCGGTAATAACAAATTTAGAAAACAAGTCGGAGTTACAAAGCCTAAATAGTGTGACGCAGAGGTTGTACCTTGGCCTGACCGAATGTGGGTAACGTTGACGCCTGTTTCCTTTCCGGCGATGTGAGCAGTTTAGCCAACGTCGGCGAGTAACACTGAGACGCGGGTGCCGACTGCTGTAACGTTGGCAACACTCATTCAAGCGTCATTATGCATCAAGCGTAAACAGGCAGGCGAGGTTCATGTTAAACTGCGGAATTGATTTACGATATTTTCGTTCCGATTTCTCTAAAACACAGCTTTTCCTGCTACACTTTTTTTTTTTTTTTAGTCCTTTTGGTGATGAAGTAGTTTAAATACTTTTGAATAAAAACTTTTCGTATTGCCTAACCGACATGTTCAGTGTGTATGCAAATTGCAAATGATGTAAATTTTGAATTAATTTTTTTTTTTTTTCAATATAAACTTTATCATATTTATACTTAGGACATAATTAACAATAAAATTAAGAAATGCTACTGAGAATTTTGTTTCAAACTCAATTGTTTTCAGTTTAGAAAAAGACTTAAAGATATGAGAAATCGTGATCGTTATTACGTAAAAATTAATAAAACACAAAAAAAAATGTAGCGAAAATAAATTTAAAAAGTTTAGAACAAAAGTATCGAAACCACATCCCTGTGATGTTTAAATATGAATTAAAAACATGAAAATACGTGATTTTTTTAAAATAAATAAATATTAAATTGAAAACCGTAAGAACTAGTAAACAACATAATAATAATAGGTATTAGACATATTTATAACAGGGTAGTTGTAAAATAACGTGTGCTAATGCACCCAAGTCATCCCTTTCGAACAATAATTATGTGAAAGTACTTTTAATTTACTTTAATTGTCGCAATTGCAATAATTTATAATACTATAATTAAATCAAGTTTAATAAAAATTATTATAATTTTACAAATTTAAATCAATATTTTTCTATTTAATTTTCTCTCTTTTTTCTATTCTATCTCTATATTTAACACATTATATAAACACATAATATAAAATTTAAAATAAAAACGTATAAAATCATGAATGAGTAAAATTTCCTAATTTAATAATGTTATAAAAATATTTTTGACGTCGAAAAAGTGCGATCCGTGATTTTTTCTTTACCTATCCCACTATTCATTCAAATATTACTTTATATGTTGCTTTGTGTTTAATGCTCTTTTAGGTAAAAGATAAAAAAAAATCTCGGTTTTTTATATAAGCTTATCATTAATGCGCAAAATGTATCGCAGAAACGTCCTCCTCACTGGAGCTGAATCAAAATTAATATTTAAATTGATTCGCTAAGTACACAACGTACTTTATCGCTATAAGAATAAGAATAATATCGCTTTAATAGTTATTTTTTATTCTATCATCTTTAAGTCTGAGTAAGTATTGGAGGGCAAAGATTTAAGAAACGCGAAATAGAGATATTTATTTCATTCTCTTAAATGACAGTTCGTTTACATAGATATGACAGCATTAGTGAATTTGAAATTTTCATTTCTAAAAAAATATAATTACTACAATTAGTAAAGTAATTGTGTTGTAATCAAATATTAAGTTCCGAAAATTTCGTTATAAATTTAAGAATCAACTTTCTTAATTCACATTAACATTAGGGATCAACTTTTTTTATTAATTAATTTCCAACATGTGTCTGGTTTGTTTCCAGATTTTCATTTAATCAAATTACTTATTAGAATAATAAGGTGAGTATGTTTACAACTACCCCATTCGTTCGTAGCAAAGACACATTTGGTGGGTCGGTTGGATAAAAAGTTTCAAATATTTAAAACATAAAAAAAGTTTGTCGAAACTTGTATACTAAAATTGTATATTTACACTAAGTTTTATCAATTTATCTTAAAGTGACCTTCTATTAAAGTGTGTATATTTACATTACGTACATAATATAAAGTTTATTTTTTATGTCTAAGTTATCTAACAAAGAAATAAATAAAAATGGTTAACAAAAAAAAAATTGTTTAGCGATTACATCAAATAGTTATAATATTCAAACTTTGCTCTTTATTATTAGTTTATTAGTGAGCAATAAATCCTTATTTTGATTTAAAAATGAAGGATATAATGTGGTGTCAAATAAGACCAACCAAACCAAATGTCTCGAATGAAGCAAATTAATAAATTATAAAAAATATATACTTGAAAAATTACCTTAGTCAGGATCCCGTGGAGGAGTGAATTCTGCTGGGACGAGGTGTCCTGTGCCGTGGTGACGGGCAGCAGGGAGATCTCAGGGTAGGGCGGAGGCGGCGGCAGTCTCGGACTGGAGGCGGCCATCCTCTCCGCTTGCTTCATGTGTTCCTCGTGCCTCTCCTGTCTCCTTCTCATGTCGGGTCTGATGTGCTCCGGCCTCGTCATGGTCTCCGCCGGTCTGGTCGGCAGGATGTTGGGGTTCTGCTGCATGTTCGCGAATTGCACGAGCACGTCCTTGAAGGAGAGACCGTTTGGAATGCCGCCCGCTTGCATCTGCTGGAGACGCTCTAACATCGCTTTTTGGTTCTGTAAAAATTAAAGTAAAACTATATTATTATTATTTTTTTATTACTTAGATGGGAGGACGAGCTCACAGCCCACATGGTGTTAAGTGGTCACTGGAGCCCATAGACATCTACAACGTAAATGCGCCACCCACCTTGAGACATAAGTTCTAAGGTCTCAAGTATAGTTACAACGGCTAACCCACCCTTCAAACCGAAACGGACTACTGCTTCACGGCAAAAATGAGCAGGGCGGTGGTACCTACCCGCGCGGCCTCACAAGAGGTCCTACCACCAGTAAATGAGATGCATGTGTATTTGAGATGCATGTGTTAATATGTCGCCAAATTCAGGCACAAGGAAATTACCAATAAGTATTTATGTTAAGCATTTTTTTTAACTTGATTACAAATATAATGAAGCTATTTCATGTATACATTAGAACTACTGTAGATTTATATATTAGTATAAATATAGATAAGATTTTTAAATAACACGCCAAACGGTCATTCTCTAGAACATTCTGTTGTTGTAGAAAAAATTTTCAAAATCTTCTTCGATAGCTAGAAGTAGTTCGCAGCAGGAATTGGGAGTCGGCGCTCGGCGGCCGGCGCGGAACGAGGTCAAGGATCGCAATTATAAATTAGATTATTGAGTGGCTCCAACTAACATCTCGCATGCGGTGCAATGGGACATTACGTACGCGGACGTGCACTCGATTTTGGACCTTATGGACTGCACGTTTTTCACTAGCCGTAATTGAAGAGTGTTTTCGTTTGTATTATATTGATTTTTTTGTGTTTATCAATATCCACATTAGATGTTTGTTGTAAATTTGAATTTCGAATGTTTTAAGTAGTCGATTGGGCCACGTTTTTCAGATCTGACTGTATATCGTATTCAATATCGTCATTTATAAAAAAAAAAGTCATTGGGCACTAAACCTGCCTTAGTTATACAAATAATTATCGTATATAACTATTGAATTGAAAATTGTTAAACATGTTAGTAACATGACGCGAACATTTCCTAGGACTTTTGGACGAGTGCAACGCGACATCTTGCAATTTTATTCCATTTTCACACACTTTCTCGAATACAAAACATCTAATAATAATTCGCTATAATAACGGGTCGCATTCCCCTAAATTCCTATTAAAATTTATTTTTATTAAGTTGTCTCTAATCAACAACTTATTACGAATTAAAAGACACTGTCGCAATATGAATTCGACAATACAACAATATAATTATTTTTTTTTTTTTAATATAGATAACAACTCTTTATTTTTATTTTTAATATAGACAAAAATTTGAAATAATGTATACGGAGAATGTTGAATGCAACTCACCATATCCAAGTTGTTGAACAGCATATTCAGGTTGTTCAAGTTGCTCATGTTGTCGATCTTCGGCGCGATGGGTCTCGGCGCGTTCATCATGTTGGGGTTCAGGATGGACTTCATCCGGCGTCCTCTCCGCGGCGTGATCTCCGGATTCCGCTGCCGGTAGTCCGCGATTATCGACTTCACATCCTTGGTGGGACCCTGGCGGCCCATGGGCAGCCCGAAGCCGGGCAGTTGTCCGTTCATGTCCCTCGGGAAGCCCGGTAACGGCCCGGGCATCATCATCTGCGGGAATACTGGCTTCGGCATCGATTGCAGGTGGGCCTTGTCGTACGGCGGGGGCAGGCCGGTGAGGGGGTTGAAGTGTGACGTCACCGGCATCACGGGGCCCTGCATCATAGGATTAACTCCTCCGGGCGGTTTTATGGCTAGGCCGGATATTTCGTCGCTTTTGTCAATCGCCAAGTTCTTGGGATGGTTCAGGTAGTCGAAGGGGTCCGGCCTGTCTGAGCCGTTCACCTCGGGCGCTTTCTCGAAGGACAACACCTGTTTTCGCCTCAGCAGCCTCAGGAGGATCTCTTCCTTGACCTTCTTCAGGTGTAAGATGTTATTCCACTCGTGTTCCTTCTTCTGTGCTAGTTCTCGTAGCGTCTGTATCTCCGAGAGAAGTTGCTCCGTGTGCCTCTGTATTTCGTCGACGCTGTTCTTTGTCGCAGTCTNGCCGTTCACCTCGGGCGCTTTCTCGAAGGACAACACCTGTTTTCGCCTCAGCAGCCTCAGGAGGATCTCTTCCTTGACCTTCTTCAGGTGTAAGATGTTATTCCACTCGTGTTCCTTCTTCTGTGCTAGTTCTCGTAGCGTCTGTATCTCCGAGAGAAGTTGCTCCGTGTGCCTCTGTATTTCGTCGACGCTGTTCTTTGTCGCAGTCTGTATGTAGTCGTTAATCATAGTGTCATGTTGCGGGAAGGTCTTCTCTACTTCTTGACAGAGCTTCTTAAGGGGGGACTCGCTTTCGGCTTCTTCGCTTGAACGACGTTTAACGCCTTGCTCTTCCTGTAACAATGGATTAGTTATTATAGTCTTAATTCATATTCCATTACTTTAATGCGTATATTGCTTTATTGCAAAGCAAGTTCTTCATATTCTAATTAAGATATTGAAATAAAATCCATTTCCTTAATTACGTTTCTTTTTTTTTATTGCCCTAATAGGCAGACGAGCATACGGCCCCCCACCTGATGGTGAGTGGTTACCGTCGCCCATGGACTTCAGCAATGCCAGGGGCAGAGTTAAGCCGCTGCCTACCGCTTAAAATAAAACAAAACTGTTTCGAAACAATAATAGGACGGTACATCTTGTTTTTGATGAAAAAAGCAATTTTTATTTTTAAATTCTAATTAAAATAATATGAATTATTATTATGTAGTACGTCTTTACCAGACACTTATTGATTCATTGGAAAATAAAGCTAGGTTAATTTTTAAAATATACAACGCTTGAATCTGTTCCATGGTTTATGGTCATCAACAATCTTGTGGACATCTTAAGTTCCTGAAACCGAAGTCAATAGTGACGGTTCTGAGAGAATAACATAAAATCGCGATCGATAATTTGTTTTCTACTTTTTTCCTTCCTAGGCTGATAAGCCTTGAGAGGCTATGTCAGCGTATCCTAACAAGTAGGTGAGTTCACAGGGCTCAAATCGGACGACGTTGCTAACACTAGCCCTAGCATGAGCAATGCTTCGCAGAATCTACCACCGGATCGGAAACGCGACCCACTGAGAAACTCAGTAGGCTGTGTCTGTGGGTTAATTTACTTGCCGAGCCCTTCGTCGCAAGCGACGGGTGCGACAAGAACGATGACCGGAGTAAATTTTTTACGAACTTAGCACGGGACCAATTACGTGGCGTAGTTTAAAAAAAAAAAAACTTGTCGGAGGGCGCAGGTATCCTCTCGATTCGAGCAGCGCAAGTGGTAAACCTTCAGCAGTGCAGGTTTACGTCCCACATTGAAAGGACGACGATACATTTTAGTGACGATACGCGAGGAAGAACTAGACCAAAATGAACTTAGGGCTCGAGCTTCCGACTGTTCAGTCGCGATGAAACAAACAAACAGACAAACAGACAGATAGACAAAATAGATGACATTTTTTTTTTAGTACAAATTTTACTTGAATAGACTATTTGAAGCTGGCGCAGGAGGTCCAGGAGAAGGTTATTAAGGGACCTTCAGCATTGATGATTATTGACGCAAGGACGGAAGGGAGATTGAGTGTTGCTCTTTTTAGTTATCATTTATGAGCATATGTGCGACCGCCCGCAAGAAGTTCAAGTTAGTTCAAGTTCCAGTTAACCCACCAGTACTATACTCTATGATGTTTTGAAAGTTACCGTCTTAACTATCTCTGTAATACAACGAGAGGTAGGAGCTGTGAAAATAAATTTTGAAACTGAATGGGAATATTTGTTTTGTTTTGTTATATTTGTATATATGTTTTGTTGTTATAATATTTTGTTTTGAAATATAGTCACATATGTAACTAATTAGTCAACAAAACATGTTTTTAAAAATATCATCAAAACTACATATAATAAATTGGGTTAAATAAAAAGATCAGCTTTTTGTTTAAAAAAAAATCCAACATTAATCTAGTATATATGTATATGACTTTTTTCTGTTTGGGTTAAGTTACAAGAACATTCTTCCTGTTACAAATTTCATGATTATACCACACATCTAGTGTCTTACCTTAATATCACCGTTGAGGGGTTGAATTTTTGGCTTGTAATCAAATTTGTGTTCAGTTTTCTCCTCTATCGGTGCAGTCTCTGTCATATCTACATCAGGCTCCGGTTCTTGAGACTTTGGCTCTTCAATAATTGGTTCCTCTTTTATTTCAACCGGAACCTATTTGAAGAAATGTTACTGGCTTTAAAATTACTAATGGAGTGGGTAATGCAAATGAGAAAGGTAACCGACCACCATTGTGGATGAACCAAAGTGACCTACCTTGTTTCTGATGAACTTACATGGCAAGTTGGCCATGGAATAGAGATTACAATCTAATGTATGCAAGTGGCTTACTGGTGGTAGGACCTCTAGTGAGGCCGCACGAGTAGGTTCTACTGTGAAGCGTTTCGGTTTGAAGGGTGGGGCAGCTGTTGTAACTATACTTGAAACCTTAGAACTTATATCTCAAGGTGGGTGGCGCATTTACGTTGTAGGTGTCTATGGGCTCCAGTAACCACTTAACACCAGGTGGGCTGCGAGTACGTCCACCCAAGTAAGCAATAAAAAAAAAGGTGGCTCATTCACCTGATACCTGTGGACTCCAGTAATCACATAATCTCGGGTGGGTCTTGAACTCCTATGTTATATATCTACAGTAATTTTCATCAGCCTATAGCAGCCCACTGCTGGACATAGGCGTCTCCAATCGCTCGCCATTGAGCACGATCCTCGACTTCTCTCATCCAGCTCCTGCCAGTCACCAGGAATGATGATCTGTGCAGTTTGGCTGGCAGGAGCTTAATTTATATTCGAAAGTTCGCAACTTTAAAGATGCATACATTGGTTAACTGTCTGTTAGTTTGTGCATGGAATCAATCCTAGTTTGAAGAAAAATATATTTGCTGTATGTACTAATTGGCTTTGATGTCTAAGATATTACAGTTAAATGCTTATCATTTCTGAGTTCATTGACCCACGTAAAAGTAAGCATTTCATGTATTTACTTGTTCATAATCTATGCATTCACAAATGTTTTTTTTTTCGTTTAACTTGAAACTTGGTATAGTTATTTTTGTTATTTCAAGAAAGGTATTTGTCATGGCACTGTACAAGAGGTAGTATAGTAGGACTTTCAATGAATAGGTGAATTTCATACATTTCGCAATAATCACAACGAGATAGGAAGCAATAGTCTATACCAGTGGTTCCCAAACTTATTTTGTCTACTGCCCACTTTCAGAATATTATTTTTTAGCGCCCGCCATTTTTTCACCTACTTAAAAACCACTATAGCGATAACTCAGTCGTTATCTAAGAATCTTAGATGAAATTACAAATCGCCTCCCAAGCCTCTACAACAACACCCCCATTTTTTTCTGGGTCTCTTACCGCCCCCCATTGGGCCTGCAGCGCCCACAAGGGGGCGTTATCGCCCACTTTGGGAAAGGGTGGCCTTTACATTAGATCTACTTGTGCTGCAGGCAGATGACGAGAGTAGACACAAGCTATATAGTATTTGCAATGAAAACACTATTACACAACAATTTTTAATTTATAATTAAAATTTTCACTGTGTGAAATTCCAGTTGTATCATAAGGACTCACAGTAACAGTAGGAGCTACAGGCTCTGGTTCAACGACAACAGGTTTCTCTTGCTCTTCAGTCACTGCAGGCTTGACTGTAGAAACATCCTCAGCTATTGGCTCAGGGTTTTTTGTTATAGTCTCTACAGGATCTTCTACTGGTAAAGATGACAGGCTTGTTTCTTCGTTTATTTGTTCTGTTAAATTATGATAATATTCATCATTACAAGTTCACTGTATTTTTATTTACATTTACTGAACTCTTGTCTCAGTGTTATGGGGTTACAGAAGCCCAGATAGAATACCATCTGGTTTTTTTTAAAAACCATAACCAGTATGGCCAGCCTTAGAAAAACGGAACTTGCGTCCAGAATTTTATAACTAGTAGTCACATCACTTGATATGAATCAACCAGGCCTGTTCTATCAAAACATCTTAAAAATTTTAATCTCAATTCTGCACTATTTTTCATAACATTTTTTTTATTGCAAACTCAGCTTAATAAATTACGTCATATAACAAAGTTTACAGATATTGTTTAGAAAAATTTACTACTACTCATTCTGTGAACTTGTGTCATGAGAATGGTTTAGTACTTTTTAAAAATAAAGTCGACTTTAATAATGTTTTTTTTCAATAGTAACTCTTCTTCTTTTTATTTCAATATGGCAAATGGCTTTTTCATTATTCCCAGTGTTGAGCTCAGTTTTTACAGCTGTAGATCTCTAGAAAGTGACTAGAACATAGTTACTAAGTACCACAATTACACAGAGGAATTACAAGAATTAATTAAACTATATAAATTTTGACAAAATAATTAAGTAAAGTAAATAAGATATCTATAACCTAATATGATGTAATATGATGTAACAAATAATTAGATGTACGATTTGTTATTACAAGAGAGAACATTACAAAGATCACAAGGAAAAGGAGCCTTGAATGAAGTAAGAAAATACAATGGAGAAGAATCAAATAAGTACAAGACAACCAAAAAGGATATGGTCTATGTCACCAATATCTGCACCGTAACGTGTAACCCCATAATCACTGATTAAACAACTTTCTTGTTTTCCATCAAAGCTCAAGCAACAATTTTTAGTGCTAATTTTTTTATTACTTGGCTATTTAAGATTAGGTTACCATTAGAAATCACTATCTGAATGAGGAAAAAATATATTCTTGGGAGTCAAATATTAATGTTTTTTCATAATATAAATTCCTAAACCGTTATCACTTCATTAAATTACATCTTTCTAATTTTATTTTGCAAAAAACGGTCTAACCTAACTTCCGATAGCCTTTTGTGGTTGACTTTCGAGACATGCTTTAATTTGCAAAACTATTCTGAAGATAACCATTTCTTTTACCAAAAATAAATAAATATGAACCCCAAAACCTGTTCTTTTTATAGATTTCCGAGATGTTGTAGTTTATTTAATAAAAAATAGAACCAACCATCAGGTTCCTCATACTGCAATTCAACTGCTTTATCACACTCTTCAATCTCCAATGGGTTTACAATCTTTTCTTTGGCATTTTCATCACAGATTCCCGCCTTTTCTTCAGAATGAGGCGCTTCGACTCCTTCCTGTTCTTTCAATGATTCTGTATTCGTCAAAACTTCGTTAATTACTAAGGGATCCACATCGTTTTCTCCGCTGGTCACAGTTGGCGGCGTTTCCACGACACCGGCTTGATCCTTCGGAGGTACTGTTTTCAAACTTATATCGTTCATGTTTATTTACATATTTCCGAATCACTACTCACAGCACAGTCACCACGCCACCCGCAGGTTCAATGACTAAATTTACCATGGTGAAAAAAAACATTTACTTTCAACGATCTACACTGTGAACGAGTCCGTAAGTTTTAATTAAATATCTAACGTTCTAATCTACGACAATGTTTTTAATTTGTTTCCCATATTGGGCAGTATCACGATGCGCTCGTAATTGCAGCCGTGAACTCAAGGGTCATTGTGACTCTTTCGACCAAAAAACCGACATCGCATTAACTTAACACAACAACACGACACTGTTCATTATGTTGTTTTTATTTTATTTTGAAATTATTAAAGTAAATTGTTCATTTTTCATTTACACCAATTTATCAAAATAACGCCAATGCGCTGGAAAAGAATGCAAATCGCACGCGAACATTTTTTGGAAGGGCTGCCATGTTTAAATTTAAAAATTCTACGTTTTGGGGGGGCCATTGGCGTTTAGTTTGCATTATGTGGTGGTATAATTTCTACTACTAGCTTTCTACTTTCGTTTTAATATCTAACTGTTTTACCCAATTTGCTAAATAAAAATATTTTTAATTTAGTTAATCACAGTTTTAACTTTATGTTTATTTAAAACAAAGGATTATGATTGCTTTTACCATTCTATTCCAGAATTTCCAAATCCGCTGCCAAATAGTTTAAACAACTACCTACCTATCTATCAAACTTCTAAACCTCTCCCAAAAACACATGTTTACACAATATATCCTGCCTGCTTACATGCTTGCCTGCTACAGTTGGTCTTTAATACCTACCGTTTACTAACGCTGCCCGATAGGCAGACCTTGGTGAACGCTTGAAAACTTTTATTCTGTGGAGTTTTTTTAATGCGCTAAGTAAGAATTATTTGTGACAAATCTTTTTCAAATATTCCACTTGATATTTAAGAAGAAAATAATCTTCAAGCAATATCTAGGGTTTGTTAATTAATGAAAACAAAAGCTTAGTAGCTGACATATTTCTCTATTTATTTATTTGCATTGCTGCTTTGTGACCACTTCGATAAAGCGGCACGACACGAGAACCTCTCATCGTGGCCGCCGGTAACTACATTCCCGATCCTGCGGAAAGAATGGAAAGCAGTCGATGTCGCCCAAAACACGTCATTTCGGATCCTCCCGATCCACTACCGGTGCTTCTAGGTACTTCAAGCATCGGTCACCGTTCTCGTCGAACCCGTCGCTTGCGACGAAGGCTCGACGAGTAAATTAACTCTCAGACACAGCCCACTGAGTTTCTCGCCGGATCTTCTCAGTGGGTCGCGTTTCCAATCCGGTGGTAGATTCTGTGAAGCACGGCTCTTGCTAGGGTTCGTGTTAGCAACGTCGTCAGGCTTGAGCCCCGTGAGCTCACCTACTAGTTAAGGTTACGCTGGAATAGCCTCTCAAGGCTACAAGCTTAGGTAGAAAAAAAAAAAAGCTGCTTTGTGATAGAAATAAACAGGGTGGTGCTATTTACTCATTTGGTAGACAATACGCCCAGCACTAGTAAATGGCGGTTGGCCATCACAGTGTGCTAACAAAATAGCGAAACTACTCCAATGAAGCCATCCATATGTCGTCTTTTGTGGGTCTCTTCTTCACACTGTGAAAAAGTAAGCAGGTAGGTATTAAAAGTTTGTAAAGGTGACAAAAAAATAATGTATTGAGTTATGTCAAACGTGAAAATTTAAATTTAATTAGCTAATTTTTTAATACATAGTCACCAGTACCAGTCACTTATTAATATTAATGTTGAACAACAGTGGTGATAAAATATAAATTACTATGTGTGACGTTTATATTTATACTCTGAAGACTTTTCTTACTTAGTATATTAATTCAATACGTATTTGTTTACTAAAATTTTGGAACTCACAACGGATAGTTATATTTAATAAATTTATATTTATTGATATTTTTGCTATTAACATAATATTATACCAAGAAATGATTCTTTTATTATAATTTAATCCTTTAATTGAACATTTAGCAAACATCGATATGAGCCACAAAATACAATAATATATTGTATTAGTGATGTGCATTGAACAATAGAATATCGATCAGATGACATTTACTGAGTTGCCATGAGATAACGTCACTAAGCGATGATGAAAGAAAAGCGAATGAAAAAGCAAATGGCCGACTAAAAACGTCGTCCTTAGTCCAGAAAATTAATCCGATGTAATTTTATGAATAATGCGCTCTTCATTTTTATGATTAGCGGAATAGAACTAAATAAAACATAAACATCTAAGATTAATATATATTTGAGCCAACTTTTAGCCTATACTGTACATAATTCAGATAAGAAATTCGTAACCTACTCAGATCAAAGAATTGAGAAATAAATTTTCCTGCCTACTACCGCCGCACGTCCATTTATTTGTAAGGTAAGATTTATTTACTTATGTTTGTTAATTGCCTGTTGAAGTGTATGCTTGTGGATTACTTTTTTTCATTGCTAAATTACTAAAATTGCGATTACCTAAATTTAGAATACAACCATTTTAATTTGCAAAATTTGCAGATTCATTAAGTTTCCTTATGCTAATGCAATTTGATAAATATATGGTAAAGACAACAAGTTACGAATGTCATTTTTAAAATATTGCCCAAATTTAATTGTCTGATATAGGTGGTCCCTAGTACGTAGCTAAACATAGAAACTCACGGTGAACTTACCAAAATGTTGCAAACCTAATTCAGTACTGTCACTAGAACATCGACACTCCTGTTTTGGTTGGCTGTAATATAGTCTTTATGATCTTGATCTCTGAATATAAAAATGCAAAAATCGACGACAATCGAGAAGTATTGATTAAAAATACAGGAACAACGTATTTTCACAGATGGTGTAATGTAACAGAGCGACGCCGGGCGGGAATCCGCCCTCAAAAAATGGAGCGCAGCTACGATAAGAAACATTCTAAACATCACAAGGACAAGCACAAGAAACGAGGTCACAAGAAACACAGGAGCTCAAGCGGTACCAATGAACAGTCATATGCCACAGTCAATTCAGTTAAACCTCTGGTAGAATATTCTGACGTGAGTTCCGAGGATCTGTCGGCCCCGGAAGCCGGCGAGATCGATAGCGAAACCAGCTCTATTAGCCGGCACATCGCAGATGATCTTGATCGAACGAGAAAGTCCCGTCCCATACGCACTTTTCTCGACAACAAGACGATATCTGTAACGTCTGAACGAGGAATCAATGACTACATTCTTAAACGAGATTCTTCGTCTACAGCATCGAGGAAACGTCACGCACACGAGTATGAACCTGAGAATTACGACGACCTCTCAAGGTTCAAAAAGAAAAAGGATAAACGTAAGAAGGAGAAAAAGAAAAGGAAGAAGAAGTCCAAACATCGGTCAAGGTCTGCAAGCTTAGAAAGCGTATCGCCGGATGATAACGTGCCAGAGGTGATTCCGGCGAGGCCAGCAACTCCGCAGCGGTATACGCGCGTGCCTATAAGCGAATGGGAAAAGCCCTCTTCTCCTTTAAGAAATGGCTCCTGTTCTCCTGTGTCGCCTACGACGCCACCGCTTCTGCGCCACGAACCGTCGCCAAGGCATCGCATAACGCATTCTCTTCATCATAATATAATTTCCTACTCACCTCGAGAAAACAGATCTCCTGTTAGGTGAGTTACTATAATTATTAGCATTGTTTTACTTTATTTATCGTCTGCTTGGAATCATACTTGAATTAATGGTGAGGTAAGAAAATAAGTGTTTAAATAAATGTAAATAAGTACATAAAATTAATCTTGAATAAAATACTTAATGGTGGTAGGACCTCTAATGTGTCCGCGTCGGTAGGTACTACCACCCTGCCTATTTCTTCCGTGAAGCAGTAATACGTTTCGGCTTGAAGGGTGGGGCAGCTGTGGTAACTATACTTGAGACCTTAGAACTTATATCTTAAGGTGGGTGGTGCATTTACGTCGTAGATGACTATGGGCTCCAGTAACCACTTAACGCCAGGTGGGCTGTGAGAACGTCCACCCAAATAAGCAATAAAAAAACAATGGCTAAATATATTTTCTGCATACATAGGCAATTTTGTCCCTGGAAATGCTCCTTAGACCTATGCAAATTTATACCCTAGAAATTTGGTTTTATCATTCAATCATATAATTAATAGCCCCCTAAATATTTATAGTCCCATTTATTCATCCATGATTTAAGTTAAGAAGTATTGTGGTACTGAACTATTCTATTGAAAAGTAAAAAGATAATTTTTATTAAATCTAGTATTACGGAAAAATACTGTGCATGAGCTCGCAGAAGCTGTTGATGAAATTTATACTAAAATAATCATAGCTTTGTGATCTTTTTAAAGTTGATATTTTGTGTGTATTGTATATATACCTTAAATATATTTTAATAGAGAAAAATTATAAAAAACAATCTTATTTGCAATCTAAAAGAATATGCTTTTACTGCAAATTGCACTTAATATTTTAACCTCTTGGTACAACTTTGTGTATTAGGCCAAAGTAATAAAAGTTCTTATTGTTATTCATTCTTGATATGTGTTCTTGATATTTTATTATCTTACATATTGAAGGTGATGAAAATTATGTCAAAAGATTCCACTACTTCTCACTACTTAGATACATAAAAGTCATGCTCTTACAAAAAAAATCGTAAAGGTACAGCCTGCTGTACGTATTACTCAGTGTATTACTTAATATACTATGTCAAACTTCTATACAGATTCATTATTATAAGTACTAAAAACTATTAAATGGAATGTTCTTCCAAAAGTTATTAGTAGTTTAGTTACTATGTTTTTATCTTATCATAAGTATAATGCTCTTTGATTAATTTTGTTTTCGTCTCAGAACAAACTGAATTTTAGACTTCAACTTGATAGCACCATTTTAACAGCATCTCTCATCTTACATATTAAACACTAAAAGTTTGTGAATACAGTAGTCTGTCTTTTAAGAAAGTCTCTTCTAATTTCCTTGTTGAGATAATAATTAATACAAACTGATTAGCATGAACAAGCTCCTGATGGAGCACTGAGAGTGCTCTTGACCTTGATACAGCTAATGTCTTGAATCTGTTATGAGTTGTTTCGTATGTGCAATGAGGTTATTTCAAAGGTTTGTGAACAAACAGATTTAAAAGAAAAGTCAACACATGTTCAAGTGCAGTAATAAGTATTGTCATCTCGGAACTGTTCAAATTGTTTGCTTACAAATGATGATGCTCAGAGTATGGTAGACCCTGATCCCCATTGTAGTCATCCTCTAAACCCTAATAGTAGTTGATGTTGAATTACATTATAATATCAAGAAGAAAATATACATGCATAAATATAATTGCTAATAGATTTGGGCCCAAAAATATTAAATATACCTAGTGTTTGTAGTGATATGCTGTTGGGGTTTGTTTTAGCTTCATATAAAGTTTATAATTATGATAAATTTCCAATAGGCGACGTCAGAAATCCACGACGCCACACACACCGGTGGCACCGCCTTATCAAGAGCCAGTGACCATAGACTCTGACACTGAGCAGGACTATGACCGGGGACGTCGAGAATATTGGCACGAGCAGCGAATACCACAGTCGCCCATTATGGTCTCTGGTTAGTGAATTTTTGATTAACCGAACTATCTCGAACCGAAGACCTACTAACGTCTGATTATCGTAAATGTGACACCAATATGTCAAAGAGTTATTTATGTGACAATAATCTATACAAATAAATAAAATTGGAGTGTCTGTTTGTAATAATAAAATAACCACTTTTTATTAAATGCGTAAGTACTATATATACCAACTTTTTTTTTGTCTGTCTTTCTGTTTGTTCCGGCTAATCTCTGTAGCGGCTGGAGCGATTTGACGAGACTCACTGATAGGTAGCTGATGATATAAGGAGTAATTTAGGCTACTTTTTTTTAGACTAGCTTCGCCCCGCGGCATCACCCGCGGTACGACAATAACCGCGGGTAACATCGCGGGACTCAGCTAGTAATATATATAATAATATCCTAACTTTCACTTGATGCAAACAATTTCATGGGATTGGAACACTAGCAATTTTATCTCGCAGCAGTGATGTAAAAGATAAAATATGACCATATTTGACAATCTATTATATTATAATAAATAATAATAATTACCACGTTAACTGGTCCCGTGATAAGTTCGTAAAGAACTTGTGTTACAGGTACCAGATAACGGAAATAAATGTAAGATTTTTATTATACACATACATTTAATATACATCCATAACCCTGGAAAAGACATTTATATTTATCATACAAATATCTTCCCTTGGCGGAATTCGAACCCGCGACCCTCTTGTGTAGTGACCATGTCACTTACCACTACACCAGACGGCCGTCAATTGAATTTAAGTTGTGTGTTGCGTGAATACAGTGGGATAATTTTTATATATATTTTTCGCCAGACTCTCCGGTGCGCGAGTGTCGGTCCCGCGAGTACAGTCCGCGCCGCCACCGCCGCCGCACGCCGCGCCGCCGCCACCGCAGCCGCGAGCGACATCACGTCCGGACCATACACAGGTTGTTACTCTATACACTCATAACTAGCTACTAGCTTTTGCCCGCGACTTCATTTAAGTAGATAGTGAAAATATTTTATTCTCCTACCGACGCCGAAAGTTCGGTTTCCCTCCCTGGGTACTGACAAGTGCGCATGCCCGTTAGTGTCTACGTCTGCTCTCACGCACCTAAAATTCTCCGCCATTGTTGTGCTTGGTTAATTTGCAATATTGTGTTTAGTGTAAGGGTGAATTAAACAAAGGCAATAAAATTTAATAGGAAAGTTTTTTTTTATGAGTGTGGGGGCTCCGCTCTCCCAAGCCCCCGCCAGGGCTTCGCCCCTGGACCCCGGCTCGGTACTCCACGGGTGCTAAATTTTTTACAATGTCGAATTTTCGGCTTGTTAAGAGAAAAAATAGTATGTGCACCGCAGGAAAAAAGTAGGATATCTCACCCCGCGTGATTGCTACGCGATGTTTGCAATTTTACACGCGGGAGGAAATGTCCAACTTTTCTCGCTTGGTTGTGCACCAAGGGAAAAAATGTACTATTGAATAATAGAATGTTAAGCTATAATGAGTCCAACTTAAAATATAGACATATGCTGTTGCAGACTTTTTTTAGAACTTTTCAAGGGGAACAGTTCTGTCATACATAATTTTAGTGAAACTAACCATTTCCGCAGCGCACGCAGCTGTCAAAAGGAAAAAAAAAACCGACTTTTTTAAACATTCTTTATTGGTGCTCCGCCTGTATTGGTCTTAGCGTGATGTTATATAGCCTATAGCCTTCCTCAATAAATGGGCTATCTAATACTGAAAGAATTTTTCAAATTGAAACACTAGTTCCTTTGATTTGTGCGTTCAAACAAACAAACTCTTCAGCTACTAATATTAGTATAGATTAATATCACTTGCGCAATGAATGGGATTAAATCTGTCAGGTTTTGCTGTCTTTGAGATTACAGACCTTTAGAGTAAACAAGACGTAATTACAGATCACACAGTCGCAGTTCGTTGAAGCGGCGCCGCTCGGTGTCTCGCGGTCGGCGGCGGGACGACACCGCCTCCCCGCCGCGACACCGCGCCCGACACCGGGACCCCTCGCGGGACAGACACCGGTACACACACTACCATCTAAATATTAATACGTGAAGCAATAACTTTGTACCCCTTTTTACGAAAATTGTCCGGACGGAGGAGTATGATATTTCCCACACTTATAGAGAATATAGAGGAGTGCACAATGCTACGTTTTTTTTTTAAATAATTCATAAAAAATACCTTAAACCAATAAAACATTTGTATTTGAGACACATACACACACACGCACATATACTCTTTTTGTTTATTGTTAAAGTCTGTGGTCAAGTTGAGGATAGATTAATATTGATTTATTTAATATTATTTGTCTATAGTGTAGCCTTAGCGAAATTTGTGATTATAGAAGTAAAGTCTTTAGACAAGAGAACCATAGTAATGTTTCTAACTTATAATTATTATTTAAATTAAATTAATTATAGAAGTAAAGTCTTTAGACAAGAGAACCATAGTAATGTTTCTAACTTATAATTATTATTTAAATTAAATTAATTATAGTCGAATTTCGACTACAGGGCGACCACTAGTACGTATTTATTGTATAAGAGCCCTCTATACCGTTTCGTCGGTTTTCGCGAGGTTTAGACATAAATAAAATTACTCTTATGTAACCGTGCCAACCAACTTAAGACTCACGTTTATTATTTTCATTTCATTTTCTTTAGAAAGATTGACTTTTACACTGCAGTTGAACCTTAGCAACATTCTTATTATCTTGTGTTTATGTTTAAGTAACCTTTTAGTAAGAGATTATCGGGGCTCTACTATTTATTAGGCTGTTACCAATCAGACAAATTATTCATTAAATGTTTTATAACTTTGCAGTACCAGGCACGACTCGCCCAGTCCACCTGCGACTTTACAGAGGAGAATAGACTTTAAGGAAAAGATCAGCGATACCAGTTTATTTGCTGAATTAGTTAAGGACAAGCACAAGAGAGCAAAGGTGAATATATTATAAGTCTTAAACTGAAGGTTACTACTTCTAGTAAACTAGTAAAGGTTCGAGCATCTGTAGGTCAGTCACCAATGGCTCTGGTTCAGTGTGACTTTGACGTTACATATAAATAATGAATTTAACACTTAATTAGTATTTAGACTGATCCTTTGGAAACAAGTCATTGAACATGATCATGAACGTTGAATATCGTATTTTCACAAAATTGTCCGATAAAAATTGTTATTTATATTTATATCTTTATATAATTTTATATTTTTCTATAAGACATCTGTTTTTCCTCCACTGATAAAAGTCTGTTTAAATATTCAGACATTCAAAATAAATATGTACGTACAAACTATACACAATCATATGATTCAATTTTAAACACAGAATATTGTTTAACTTAAGCTAAATGCTCGATGAAAATTTTCAGAAGTTACAAGAAATATTGAACCAAAAGGAGGAAGAGTCTCAAGGTGCAGCGTCAACGGTCACGTCAAATAACCAGGACGTGGTTACCATCGACGAGCTATCCAACAATACCTCTGACAGTCTGTTAAAAGTGAGTCAAAAATGAGAACGGTAGATAGCCGAGGTGCTAATGGTAAACATAATAAACTCTGATAAAAATATAAAATTAAACAATTTATCAAACAAAACGGAGATTGAATGTAATGCAGTGTTTCGTGTTTCTTTTTTAATTCTGAAAGGTTTTTATCAGTTTTTATTTGAAGTCACTGTGGTCTAAAAGATTAGCTCTGTGTATTCGTATCAAGTGATGCGATCGTGGCGTTGTTACAGCAAATAGGTAGTTATTTTTGTAATGAATTATGTACCTTACAACTGTTACTGACTGCAAAAATGAAGGAATAACAGTGTGAAATAAGAATAAAACTTAGTTTCGTAGCAATAAATAAGAAGCAGATTTTTTTCAAATTTGAAATTTGAAAAAATACAATATGGAATTCGCAGCCGACGTTGAAAGAAAATGGTGAGGTACCAAAAGAAGTTACGGAAGTGGTCGTCAGTGACGTCCCCGGGATGCTTCAAGGCATCCCCCCGCCGCCGCCCGCCGCTTCACCCCCCGCACTCCCTTCGCCGCCACCCGCCGCCAACGGAGAACAAACGCTCGTTGATCAGGTAATCACAACTAAACAAACATGAAATTATAATTCGCGTAATTACTGGTGGTAGCACTTCTTGTGAGTCCGCACGGGTAAGTACCACCACCCTGCCTATTTCTGCCGTGAAGCAGTAATGCGTTTCGGTTTGAAGGGTGGGGCAGCCGTCGTAACTAAACTTGAGACCTTAGAACTTATATCTCAAGGTGGGTGGCGCATTTACGTTGTAGATGTCTATGGGCTCCAGTAAACACTTAACACCAGGTGGGCTGTAAGTTCGTCCACCCATCTAAGCAATAAAAAAATAAAAAAACTAAATAATGCTTGATTTGACAGCACACCTCCCAGTTACGGAAACGTGGATTTTAGAATGAAAAAATTTTATTTCAGTTAACATGGCTCTTATCTTTGAACTTAATATTTAACAACTTCAAATCCTTTGGTTGCTATCTGTGTGTTTGCGGACAGAATTACTAAACGTATTTTCATATGGTTTTAAACGGATTCATTTGGTACACTATGTTCAGGATTTGTGGAATGAAATCGGATGTTGCTAAAAAGTTATTGTCATTTAAACGTTTCTGAAATTCAATTCTATTATACTAATAGATGATATAACGCAACTAACATTATTTAAATGAATATATCTCTTATCTGTCTCTTGCCTTTCATGCCCAAACCACTGAAGTGAGTTTGAGGAAAATTGAATTAAAAAGAAATTGCTTGAACCTTGATTAAAGGGTAATTTTCCACTGCACTGTCACATATTTATCATGACATCATAAATAAATCTTAAAATGTAAAAGTTTGATGACGATTAACAAGCTTCAGTGTTATCAGTAAAATAATTAATAATTAGTCCTTTTTTTCGACAAATACAAAATGTAGTACATAAAATGTAAAATTTGATGTGTAAATAGTAATTAAGTTTAATTTCTACCACTGGGTGAACAGGACACAAGGCTAAGTAGTTTATCCGATCACTCTATTACCATGTAAAATTATAGACCCCCTGCGAATTTTATTCATTTGCATTTTCAGAAGATACCCCTTCCTGCGCCGGTGCCGCCCCCGAAGACGAGCAGCGTGGTAGAGGGAGTGTTCCTAAACAATCAACAACCGGCGCCTAAACATAAGAGCCTCACCAAGCTGCCCATGCCGCCAAACACACAGGTGACTTTGAAAATCGAACAAAAAAATAAATGAAATAAATTTGCATGCCGACGTGTATCTTTTAACCCTGCACAAATTGGGCTTGCGCAATTCTCCCTCGAAGTTGCTCTGAAGAATTATCTGCCCTTAGAATAAAACTCCTCCAATAAAATATCTCAATGACTCAAGATAGCGGTATTCAGTGCAAGTGGGATGTGAATATGTCTACCTATCATCAATGCAATAATGGAAGGAAATATTAGTTATGCTTGTTATGTTATATTTATTATGGGTAGGTACCACCATCCTACCTATTTCTGCCGTGAAGCAGTAATGCGTTTCGGCTTGAAGGGTGGGGCAGCCGTTGTAACTATACTGAGACCTTAGTACTCATATCTCAAGGTGGTTGATGGCATTTACGTTGTAGATGTCTATGGGCTCCAATAACCACTTAATATCAGGTGGGCTGTGAGCTCGTCCACCGAACCAAGGAATTAAAAAAATGCATTGACGTTTTAACTGTTCTATAAATAATTGTTTTACAGAACTTGCAATTATTTTTTTCTGTTAATGTTCAATACTGCCCTTTTACAGGTTGAAGACTTAAAAACGTTGGTGAACGAAAGTCCATTAAGTACGCCTTCACCTAGCCCTGTGAAAAAGCCAGAAAAACCCAAGAGAACTGGCATTATGAATTTGCCTATGCCACCTGGTAATTAAAATATTTTTAAAATCTAGTTGAACCTTGAAAAGCATTGCACGCTGTCGCGTATTATATTATGTCTATAGTTCTATGTATAAAATTATCAAGCAAAATAATATTATATTAATTTTATTTTGTTATATTATTCTCAATGTAGAATTTCAATCATATATCTCTGTGGAATAGGCCTCTTTTGCTAAACTATGGGGTTTATTAAACGGAGGGATGTTTTATTCTGGAGTTTTTAATTTGTATAATATATCATTGTATTATTATACTTATTTTTTTATTTTAATGTGCGGTCATCTGTTACACTGTTATTTGTACTTATAAATTGAGGTGACACGAGTCACGTGCACTCTTGTGAAATCGTCGATGTTCTACATTGGTGATCACTTTGTTAGTACAATTAATTAAATAAGTAAATTAATAAATAAAATACCAAAAAAACACAATGAAGCAAAATAATAACTAAATGATACATTTAATTTTTTTTATGAAGTTGTTGGTAAGGTTTATTGAGGTGATAACATAACTAAACTAACCCTTTGTCACAAAGCAAATGTTCTGTAAGTGTAGTTATGTAGTTTGGTAGGTTAGCTAGCTACAGTGTGTTCTCTTTATGAGGCGATAAAATATGATCAAATATGATGCGTATTTTTGCAGTGATAACTAGTGCTACAGACGAACTGAGTGGAGACGAGCTGGACGGGTCCACACCGCCGCCTGCCTCGCGACACGAACAATACTCGCATGTCTTTAGTTCAAAGAAAAGCAATAAAGATGTGAGTAATGTCCTTGTACCTTCGACTTTAGGGGTATTTTTCTGTCGAGCAATACCGGGCATAATGTAATTCACATTGCTTCACAGTCGAGTTCGAAACTCAAGAGGCCAAAAATATTAAAGCGAAGAGGTTCCAAGATTGTTCCTGTGGCGACGCCCACGCACCACGCCAAAGACTGGGGGGAAAAATGCGTTGATGGCTTCCAGGTAACATTATATATTTGAATATTTTTAGAACAATATCATCGTAAACTATGTCTGTTTAATCTTCATAATATATTGTATTAAACTGTTAACACAATACTCTAGAATAAATCTGGAATAAAAACTTACTACATTCGACCCTACATGCTCAAATCATAGATATTTTTAAACATTTAAGTCTCTAAATCTATTGGTTATTGTTTTTTTTTAAATAATGAATGTCACAGTATTTCACAGCTTTTTATTTTTCATTGCATCATTTTAGAACTGTCGACCGTGCACGCAGCAATCACTACATAGTATAAAACAAAGTCGCTTTCTCTGTCCCTATATCCCTATGTATGCTTAAATCTTTAAAACTACGCAACGGATTTTGATGCGGTTTTTTTAATAGAGAGTTAGAGTGATTGAAGAGGAAGTTTTAAATGTATAATAACATCCATTACATAGTGGAGACAACCTGTTTTTTTTGAGGTTTCAATGTGCTTCGCCCCGCAATGTTACCCGCGATACGACAATAACCGCGGGTAACATCGCAGGACTCTGCTATCAATAATAAAATTTAATGTTTCCGAAGCGAAGCCAGGTCGGGTCGCTAGTGTATTCTAAATGACGGGAATTTATATAAAAACAATAAATCAACCATAGTAGTAGAGGTCACCATTGAAATCGCTTAATTACAGTAAATTGTCGTGCTTCTTCCAGGTGCTGACACAAATTGGAGAAGGAACATATGGACAAGTTTACAAAGCCAAAGATAAGAACACAGGTCAGTTGGTAGCTTTGAAGAAAGTTCGCCTCGAAAACGAAAAGGAGGGCTTCCCGATCACGGCTGTGAGAGAAATCAAGATTTTAAGGCAATTGAATCACAAGAACATTGTCAATTTACGAGAAATTGTGACTGACAAACAGGATGCTATGGACTTCAGGAAGGTATGTGGTCGCAGAGAACTCTACAGCCACTGTCAGTGGCAAATGTGACTGGCAATTTTAGAAACTACCTGAACTAAATGCCTAGTTAATTTATTAGAATGTAAAGTTTTGTAAATTATTAAAACAATTGACTATAGATTTGAAACCGTAATTTTTTTGATATTCACTACGTAAATGTGAAAAGGGTGAACAGTAAATAGAAGATTTATTTTTATCTAAAATTATTTCAGGATAAAGGCTCATTCTACTTAGTCTTTGAATACATGGACCACGATCTTATGGGTCTCCTCGAGTCAAAAATGGTGGATTTCACAGAGTCTCACAATGCATCTATAATGAGACAATTACTGGATGGATTAGCGTACTGTCATCGGAAGAATTTCTTACATAGAGATATTAAATGCAGTAATATACTCATGAATAACAGGTAATTGAATTGTTTGGTGTTTCCTTGTTAATATACAAAAATAATTTATTGCTGTAATTTATTGAAATAGGTACAATTAATTTAATTGACTTCAATGAAAACATAATGATTTAGCAGAAAGCTTAACTTGTTGCACGGTCAAAATTATGATTGATTAATAACAGGATTTGTTATCGCTGATAATTATCATAACAATAACATTGTTGTTGGAGGTATTGATGATAAAGCTACCATGACAGATAGCACCTTCAGTGATGGAGATATATTTTCATCCATTTTTAGTTAACAAAAAAGGATTTTCATAAACTTTAGCTTTTTGATATGATTGTTTTGTTTTGTTCATGACACTTTAATGTATGATGTACGTGACTGATCATCATAATCAATCTTGGGGTGTGGCTAATGATACTAAATTATTTAATTGTTGTGTGTAAAGTTGTCTTCATTTGATTTAACTCTAAAAAGATCTAAAACGGTATCTGTGTGCTTAGTGCGAGTTTTTTAACGTACTCAATAGCGTAAAAGTTAGCTCATATTTGTATGGATTGGGATCGTTTGCCTACGTTTGCCGCTAGGGGCGCTGTTCCAACTGCATACAATATTGGGCTAACTTTTACGCTATCGAGAACGTTAAGAAACTCGCACTAAGCACACTGAACGCTTGAATTAAATATGGCACTTCCGTTTGTACATCAGAGGCGAAGTGAAGCTGGGCGACTTTGGTTTGGCTCGACTGTGGCAGGCGGAGGACAGAGAGAGACCCTACACTAACAAGGTGATAACTTTGTGGTATCGACCACCGGAACTGTTGCTCGGGGAGGAGCGGTATGGACCTGCAGTAGACGTCTGGTCTATGGGCTGTATCCTTGGAGAACTGTTCCTCAAACATCCGCTCTTCCAGGTAAATATAATATGTAATAATAGGAATCGAAATATTTATGATCACCTAATTGTACAATGTTGATGTTTATTGTTCTATATTAAAAGACGACTCATGTAACATGGTGCTTATTGGTTACTGAACCCTAAACATCACCTTTAGACATTATAATGTCACATCAGAAAGAGACAGAACGTATTTAATTTATCATGATGTATATAAAGATTTTCGATTTTTTACTTTATATGTATATAAAAAAAACTTCAATCTCCAGTAATTGTTCACTCCAGGATTTATATTATATTACCTAATTTTTACCACGATTTATATTACCTAATTACTGATTTTGTTTATAACAGGCGAGTGTAGAGATGATGCAGTTGGAAATGATATCCCGGACGTGTGGTACTCCTGTACCGGGAGTGTGGCCTAACGTGGTTAATCTCCCACTGTGGCACACTCTTAGACCCAAACGGTTCCACAAGCGATGTGTTCGGGAACAATTCGCTTTCATGCCCACTCCAGCACTCAACCTGCTCGACAGGATGCTGGAATTGGATCCGGAAAAAAGGATCACCGCAGAAGAGTCATTGAAGAGTCCTTGGCTTAAGAATATTGTGCCAGATCAGTGAGTTTGTGTTTTTTACTTAATCCTTTTTCGTGTGTACTGTGTACCGTTGAGCTCAGCAGGCTCGTAATGATGCTGTACCTACAAATAACTTCACTAAACACTACAGTTGAGTTTAGAGTACCAATGTAGAAATATATAATTAGAACATGTATATAGACACATTTCACCAGTTTTCACTCACATTTGCCCAAAAAAATATGAGAATCATGGTTATTTAGTGTATTGCAAATACTTTTATTTAATTTTATAATTAGCTTTTGCCCGCAACTCTGTCCGCGTGGAATAGTTACTTTGGCATAACGCTAAATTTTACCCCTTACTTCATTTATGTAGAAAGTGCAAATATTTTGAAACATTCTTTATTGGTGCTCCACTTGTATGGGTCTCATGATGTTATATTATTATAGCCTATAGCCTTCCTCAATAAATGGGCTATCTGAGTTCCTGAGATTAGCGCGTTCAAACAAACAAACTCTTCAGCTTTATAATATTAAGTATAGATCCCTAGTGTAAGCATTAAAAAACAAACTAAATGCTTCTTTCCCTTGCAATTGGATAGGAATATAATTTTATAATTGAATTTTTCTTGTAATTTATTTATTACACATAAAATTAGTAATCCAGTGTAGCGTTATTAGTTAGGGATACCATATAGGAATATGCAGTTATTAAAATCATAAATAATTCACAGAATGCCTCCGCCGGAGCTACCCACGTGGCAGGACTGTCACGAGCTGTGGTCGAAACAGCGGCGCAGGCAACAGAGGGAAGAACAACAAGGAAAGAAGCCTTACTTCTCGGAAGACAGCAAGTCCAATGATCAGACAGATTTCAAAACAGACGGGTTCAAACCGTCTGAGCCTCCGCCCGATGTTGTTGGACAAGTGAAATAGTACTCGGACACAGTGATCGGAAGTTATTTCGTTCACGGATTCTTCTGCGACATTGCTAGTGAAGTGAAGTTTGGTGCTTTAAGTGAAATGCGGACGTGTTTAACGACTGTTCGGTAGTTGAGCTTCGGACGAGAGGTGAGGAGCAATGGCTGTGGCCGCGCACTCGAGTGGCATTCAAGGAATAATAGGGTTACTTGACGCGCATCCGTAGTCTTAACACGAGATCTCCGACTTTTCTTTATAGTGTTTTAAATAATGTTAACCACTTTCAATGACTGTCTGTGTTTATGGATATTACCTGAATATTTATTTGAGTTTAAAATGTTATGAATCCATGCATTCCAAGATTGCGTTTGTTAATGTGACTTCATATATAAAATATTCATCACAATTGTGTTGTTATTTGATGATAAAATGTTAGGGGCCATTCTATGCTCGAGGAAGATTTAAATTGAGCAATATTACCATTATGTTTTCTTAAGCGATTATTAGCGGCGTGATCGTCGTTCTAAATGTAAATACCACGATGTTATCAGCCTGAGTGAACTGCGTGCCTTTTTAATGTTAGTAAAGAAAGCGTCTTGTTTCCTAACCCTATTGTTCTAAATAATTTTAGTGATGAATATTTAGATAATTAATCAATTGGCCTCAAATGTGTACGCGTGTATGTTTTTAATAATTTATGAAAGCGTACCAAATTAATATAATTTTTTTAATTTAATATAATAAAAACCAAAGTATTGCATTATGCATTTTATCTCGGGAGCCGTTTCTGAGAACTTTTGACACAACACTAATAAGAACACGTTGACTACTTTTTATTTAACTGATCATGAAATCAAAATTCTCTACATCTCAGCCCAGGTCAGTCTCAAATTTTAGTCTGTAATTTTTAACAAAGAGAAGGAATTCGATCCGGGCATATTTTTTAATGATTATGTGTGTGATTGAATGAAGTAAAGATCATTTTGAAATGTAAGGGACAAAGGGGAAGCATTAAAAACTTTAAAAAACAATATTTGTTAAAAATACTATTAAATTATATGAATGAGAATCATTTGGATTCGGATTTTGTGAATTTATAAAAAAATACATTTAATATCACAATTTAACAATCTCGAAATATTAAAATTTGGCTTATCTCTAAATAACTTTAATGTTTTTAATTTGTAAAGTGCAATATTTTTTGTCTACGGTTATGACATTCCGTTTCCGTACAAGAAGGCCAAAGAGATTTATTTGCACTTGATTTAGTTCTGTATGTTTCTTAGCTCAATTAGTATTATTTTAATCTCAGCCTTGCATTTTAAATTCTCAGTGAAAACTATTCAAGCATCGTTTTTTTGTGCGATCACTAGATGATATCTTTGTATCCTATTAGTTATAGTTAATGAAATGTATCATATACTTGATGTCCATTAGTTTTATTTGTATATTTAAAATAGATAATGTATGTGTGTCGTTCGTAAGATTGTCAGGGTAAAAGACATTTTGGCGTTAGCCGGTTAAGAGAAATGTTAGGTTTTTCATAATAGAAATTCTATTCTTATGGGAAAGATTATGTACTGTGCTGTAATTTTAGTTTTTAATCGAATTTTGTTAGGTCGTGAATACAACAGGTTGTGTTCGACAAGCGGTAAAGGTTAATTTAACTCTGTGCCAAAATTATGCTGAAGTTCTACTTACAGCTTCTGTCAAAAGTTCTAGTGGCGGCGCCCGCGCTCGTCGAGCGAAATGAACTGTAAAACTCATGTGCATAAATATTTTGTAGTTAATTGTAAATATTATAATAAAGAATAATGTATGTATGTAATCTAGTTTAATTTCTCTGAATAAGAACAATGTTTATTTTTCATTTGCTGAACATTTTTGTTTAATGTAAATTTCTTGTACAGTATGCAGTCAAATATAATAGTTAAATGGTTAATAACTTGTAAATAATAGGAGACCTGATGTTAGTGCTGTAAGTTTTTTACTCTATATCAGTATGGTAAATAAATCGTTTATTGATAATGTCCCAGTTGCTTTCATTTTCTTAGACAAGGTAAGTTAAATCACGCAGGTGGTACCACCATGTTCCTGTGCCTACCACAGTGCTGTCCTGCAATGAAATGTAGCTATCGACTTCTCTCTTCTTAAACTCGGTAACTAGATAAAGTAATAAAACTAGTTTACTTCAAAAATAAATTTAATTATAAAAATGACTACAAAGGAACTGGCTTACAATACAATAAGGCACGTACGCGCCTATCTTTCGTTTATTTCATATGGCTTCTGGAGTTACATGGCTGGTAATATGTGTACGCATTGAGATGGTAGTAATGGTATTTTGGTCGATATTTGCAGCATTGAATGTAAAAATAATAATTTGATAACAAAATTTAAACTGCCCTCTGAATTTTCTGGAAACATAAGGAAAAATTTATATACAGAATCGTAAAAGACATAATGAGTAAAAAGTTTTTGTACCGCAAATATACTTCACAAAAAATCACGTTTAGTTGTTAGTTTGTAGTCCGAATTTATGACACAAACACGATTTACACAATTGCATAGACTAAAGATATTTTCATACTCTTTGTACAACAGTTAGGTACAAAACTTTGATAAAAGTGGAAGAAACGTTTGACAATTGACACTTTACAAAATCTCAGCAGTGTCAAGTTTATCTATTCGCGCGGTAAGAAATTTCAAGTTGTCGAAATTTTGAAAAATTAAATTAAAAAAAAACACAAGTTAAATTTTATTTAGTGATCGCACTAACTTGCACAGTTTGATAGCTCGAAATACCTAGCTGCTAGATATCGGATGAAACAAGATAATGTTTACCAAAGCGACGACCGGATAGTAAATTCTCAAATGATTAATTAGTCTAATTGTTTGAAATGTAATTTTACTAACAGACATATCAATTAAGGTCTCGTGAAACCGTTTCCCGCCAAAATACTGCTTTGGCCATTTTCCTCCAGAATTAACATATTTAGAATCAGTATCGATTATCCTCGATTCTAACATTTCATTAACTTTAAGGCACCATCGATTCAGCGTACTTTACAATACGTACAATACAAACTTTACTATTTTAAACTAGATTAAACAAACAAAATCACAATATTAATTTTGAAATGTTCTAAACAAGAGACCTAAGTACTTTGTACGATTCATTAAATAAAAATATAAAGGTTGTGTGTTTGAAACCACAATGTAAACAAATCAATGAACTTAAAATTAAATAATGAAATAATAATTTAATACAATTCAATCCAAATTATATAATGTTTCATAATTATTATTTTATAAGCTTATAATTATATAACTTTAATACAAACAAAAAAGATTGACTCTGCATTAAAATTCAAAGGATATCTTTATACATAAATAATTGAATCGCAATATTTAAATTAATAATTAAATGATAATATTATTTTCACGTTATAAAATTGTATTTATTTTCGTTGTTTTGATCATATCGAAGAGTTGTCGATTGCTATGCTGTCTTCTAAGGAGTCGCAACCTGAAGTATCATCAAGAGATATTAGAGAGTGACCATATGTGGTTTGATGGGGTGGAGCACCGGTTTTGTTGAAAGAATAAGACTTGAAACTCATGTCTCAAGTACAAAAAGTGACACAAAGTGAACAGTGAGCTAGTCCACCCATAATAGCAATAAAAAAATCGATCCCATTTAATGGCGCAATGCTTGGATCTCAATCAGAACGAATTGAACCACTTAGTATTGGAGCTTGAAATTTTCAGTAGAAGGCGATGATTAACCAATTCAACTGGGCAGGAAGATGGATACCGGAGACAGGGTAAATAGGGAAATTGAGGAGCTTTTAATACAGCCGAATATAATCGGCATGGGCTTTTCTAAAAAGCGACCTCTCTGGAAATATTAGACATTTTTTTTTGTTAATCTGTTTCATCAGATGTATGTGACCAGTCAGGGTAGCTTTGATTCGATGTCATCAACAATCCATGGGCTCACGGCTGAGTATTAATCTCGCGGCCAAGCTCTGTTCCGGGTCTGTGAGCCAGTAGTCGCATACAGTGAGGAGGGTAATGCGTAACCGGTACCATGGCAGCTCCTGTAGACCGAATGGTAAACAGTCGATGTCGCCCTAAACACGTCATTACGGATCCTCCCGATCCATTAACGGTGCTTTAGGCACCACAAGCACCGGTCATCGTCCTCGCCCAACCCGTCGCTTGTGACGAAAGGCTCGACGAATAAATTAACCCATAGACACAGCCCACTGAGTTTCTCGCCGGATCTTCTCAGTGGGTCGAAGCGAAGCATTGCTCTTGCTAGGATCAGTGTTAGCACCACTCCGGTTTGAGCCCCGTGAGCTCACCTACTAGTTAAGATTACGCTGAAACAGCCTCTCAAGGCCGGGCCTTGAGCACGTCGCCCCATCTCAACTCAGCAGCGAGACTTACCACGAGCAGGTTCCCGCTCTTGGCGCGCTGTATGGCTGGCTGGGTGCCCTTCGTCACCTCGATGGTCCCGCCCTGCTTGCCGTTGACCAGGGAGTGCGCGATGCTGGAACACATAAAATCGCTTACGTACAACCCTAAATAAATCGTCAGGCTTGAGCCCCGTGAGCTCACCTACTTGTCAGGGTTATGCTGATATGACAATGGAATTAAGAAATTACTGTACGGTGTAGGTTAGGGGTAAGGTGCTGGATTGATTGAGTGAAAATCTTTACTAAAACCCCACTTAATGCTTAAAGCTGTCAAGGTTTTAATAAACAAGGATGCCATATGACCACAACTGCTCTGCTAAGAGTATGATGATGCATTATGAGCTGCCAAGGGCAGGTACTATGCTTGCCACGAATCAGTTCAGCTATTATAATTTAATTGAAACTTCATGTCTCAAAGTAGATGGTGATGTCCATGGACCTCAGTTTCTAGTTAGCAGCGAGAGCTTGTTATAAACTTGAAAAAAATAATGAAATAATTGAAATAGAGTTGTTAGAGCTGGTATAGACTGTACTGTTGACGTTACTGTACAAAAGTGCGCTGTCAGTGGCAAAGACAAAACTGTATTTTTTTGTTTACTAACAATGCTCTTAATCAGTGAAGGGCTCAAATCGCATTAATATTTAAAAAAAAATGTGTGTATGTAAATGGGTCACTTCAATATGTCACGTGCAGGAGAAAAAAATGCAATGAATCTTAATCTTTAAACATCAATAGTTAAGGTCGAATTTTCTTAATGTTTGATAGATTCTTATTTAGAGCGTGGGATATTATTTATTTAATAAACCATTTTAATTTATTTTCTTTTTATGATGTTCTCAAAAACTCATAGTCCGTTATAGTCCGATGTTGGCACATATAAGAAAAACAAAAGTATTTTAGGCGGCCCACTCACGTCCTGGTGTCGACTATCTCAATGAGCTCCGGCTTCTTGGTGTAGTCCGTCACGATGGTCAGGGCCTCGATGAGATGCGTCACGGATATGATGAGATCTCCCTGGTGGAATGTTCAAGTGAATAATACTTTTAAAGTACCACGTCTCGACAAAAAGCTCAAGTTAAAAAGTAAGTCAATATTTTGTAGTGAAAACTTCTTTAGCATTGTTGTGATTTTAAAGTCGATGAAACGGGAAAGGGACAGTAGAAAGAGACAGACATAAATTTATACGATTTAACGTGGGAGAAAATGAGATAGGAAGAATTATAGGGTTTTTTTAATACAGCGCCATCTATGAGGTGGTTTATTAATAATGTTTATGAAATCTATTGTTATTATTTTTAATTTAGGATAATACTTGAAGTTAAGATTTTAATTCACAGAGGGCGTTAGCTCATACTATAAAAGTTGATGATTTGCAATTATGTACCTACTAAGGACAAAATTTTACATACATATACATAAGATAATTGTATTTTAGTTTTTGAAGGTTTCAGTCCTACCACGTTGAATTACACACACCATTTTTTTTCATAATATCCAATCCTTTGGATTTTTAAATTATCGTATTGACATCGGCATCTGATGGTTGGACTAATTTTGAAGTTAATCAGACGTTATGAAGTTTGGGGAAATTACGTTGAAAGACGCACGCATCAAGGACCAAATATAATACAATATTATTAACTTCGCTCTTCTGACCGATATCAAACAAGGATCAAAAAGATGAAACCAATTAGCTTAGTTTGGTGTTTAAGCGTGTTTTTTTTTAGTTTTTAAACTACATCGTCTTCTCGCATTAAAACTGTATAATCTCAAAACTTACTAATTTTATAGGAGAGTGTTTTAAAAGTTTAACATGTGATATTTTTAATATTATTAATCATCTTTGCAACATTTATTTTTAATTTTTTACCAGTTTCATTATCTGTCTTTTAAAGTAAAATAAAATCATGTATTCATTTTGTTAATAGTAAATAAAAAAAAATATCCCTAAACTACGCTCTTCTGACAGTATTTCTGAGAAAAATACTGGTGATACCAAATGATTCCGCATATTAACTCAATTTCGAATAGTTTTGGAAATTGTACACTTTTAATACGAAAAGACGATATATCGAGAGGTGAAAGGCTATTTGGATTAAGCGATGTTCCGTTTAATACGTGACATTTATCTTTGTCATTAAAGGTCCGTTTTATTTGTTATTAGCATTAATGATTCGATTTTTTTAATTGAACTTCAATTAAGTTTACTCCATTCAAATAGCTGATGATGTCTTTGTTATATTCTTTCCAAATATTAAACTTTAATTGGGTCAAATTTAATGTTGCAAAAATGACGTTTTAACCAAACAGGCTTGCATCCGTCGATGTGTTATTAATAGAGGTCGGAGTAGATAGATTGATTTAAGGTCGTTGACGTCAAACGTAGAGCATAATATGGATATGCTTCCAAAATACTGGAACTTCATATTTATTGTGATATTTGTTCCGGAATTTTGAAATTAGCATGAATCTGTGTTTAAGGTGAAAAACGTATTAATGATATTAATCTACGCTATCAGTGCTAGCTAAAGGTGAAATAAATCAGTATTTTATTTTATACAAAAACACCTTGGAATAGTTACACCGTATTTTGTCTCTTTCCGTTGAATTAGAATTGACGCTTGTCAGTATGAGACAAAACTTAGACAGGGCTTTTGTTACTTTATGTCATAAATATAGAAATTGTATCCGATGAAGATTCAAAATTTATTTTCCAATTTAAAAAAATAATCATTACGGATAAAATGGCATGTCCATATTATAATACCTTGAAGCAAGTATATAAAATCAATCTACTTACTCCGACCACTGGTTATTAAGGTACCTTGTCCTTCTTGAGGTCGCGCGGCACCTTGACCAGCAGCAGCGAGTCAGACTCGTTGGTGACGACGACGGTGAGGCGGTCCAGCGGCAGCCGGTGCTTGAGCCGGAACGTGCGGCGCCCGCCCGCGTCCAGCACGTACAACGCCGCGCGGGACGCCAGCAGGCCGCGCGCGCGGGCCTTGTAGCCGCGCCGGTCGTACTTCACCGCCTCGCACGAGTACTGCGGGTACAGAGTAGTCACGCGCCGCCCCCCCGGACCGAGCGCACTAGTGCACGAGCACTGCGGGCACAGAGTAGTCACGCGCCGCCCCCCCGGACCGAGCGCACTAGTGCACGAGCACTGCGGGCACAGAGTAGTCACGCGCCGCCCCCCCGGACCGAGCGCACTAGTGCACCAGCACTGCGGGCACAGAGTAGTCACGCGCCGCCCCCCCGGACCGAGCGCACTAGTGCACGAGCACTGCGGGCACAGAGTAGTCACGCGCCGCCCCCCCGGACCGAGCGCACTAGTGCACGAGCACTGCGGGCACAGAGTAGTCACGCGCCGCCCCCCCGGACCGAGCGCACTAGTGCACGAGCACTGCGGGCACAGAGTAGTCACGCGCCGCCCCCCCGGACCGAGCGCACTAGTGCACGAGCACTGCGGGCACAGAGTAGTCACGCGCCGCCCCCCCGGACCGAGCGCACTAGTGCACGAGCACTGCGGGCACAGAGTAGTCACGCGCCGCCCCCCCGGACCGAGCGCACTAGTGCACGAGCACTGCGGGCACAGAGTAGTCACGCGCCGCCCCCCCGGACCGAGCGCACTAGTGCACGAGCACTGCGGGCACAGAGTAGTCACGCGCCGCCCCCCCGGACCGAGCGCACTAGTGCACGAGCACTGCGGGCACAGAGTAGTCACGCGCCGCCCCCCCGGACCGAGCGCACTAGTGCACGAGCACTGCGGGCACAGAGTAGTCACGCGCCGCCCCCCCGGACCGAGCGCACTAGTGCACGAGCACTGCGGGCACAGAGTAGTCACGCGCCGCCCCCCCGGACCGAGCGCACTAGTGCACGAGCACTGCGGGCACAGAGTAGTCACGCGCCGCCCCCCCGGACCGAGCGCACTAGTGCACGAGCACTGCGGGCACAGAGTAGTCACGCGCCGCCCCCCCGGACCGAGCGCACTAGTGCACGAGCACTGCGGGCACAGAGTAGTCACGCGCCGCCCCCCCGGACCGAGCGCACTAGTGCACGAGCACTGCGGGCACAGAGTAGTCACGCGCCGCCCCCCCGGACCGAGCGCACTAGTGCACGAGCACTGCGGGCACAGAGTAGTCACGCGCCGCCCCCGGGGGCATAGTGTGCCTGTATCGGCAGTCATGCGGTCCGGTTTGAAGGGTGAGGCAGCCGTCATGCAATTGATACTTCGATGCATAAGTCTATGGTGGCATCCCTACGTCGACAGATGCAGGCGTGTCGTCACTTACGATGAGTTCCTCGCCGCTGGGCCAGGCCGGCGACGCCATGAAGGTGTCCCTCAAGGTCCTGTGCTCGGGACTCATGCGGTCGTTCACGAACCTCTCCCCGACGCTGCTGAGGTAGCTGTTCTTTTTACCTAAAACATACTCAGTTGATACATATGATGAGCTCGCATGTAACGCGTCTTCAATTGCGTTACATCTTCCCAGAAGAAAAGTTGGTTTTGTAACTCTCTGGTCCCTACTAGCCGGTATTTAGATCTGTTTGTACGCAAATAAGTGAGTAACCACATTGTTGTATTAATTGAAGAAGATATTCCCAGCGTTGCCTGGGTTATTACATTTATTTATTTATTTATTTACACATTCCTGATTGATCTTAGCGGTGTTTTATCTATGTGACTATCATTTTGCCTATTTCTGTCACGAAACAGTAGCTGTTTGAGCCGATATATGGTGGGCTTTACGTCACGATGCTCATGGACTCCAGTGCTCGTTCAAAGAAGCCTTCGAACTATTCGCCTATATAAAAATATGTGAAAAAATATGAGTGAAGATTGTGATTGGCATTGATAATTCGTCTTTTTATCTAATCTTAATTAATCAAATAATATTTAGTGATGACCCTATTCACCACATTTTTACAATTCCTAGAATTTTAAAATAGATAATCCGCCATTATTACTAGTTTCGATTGGAAGGAACACCGAATTGATAAAATGATAAATCGCTATTCCCACTAAATATACTTAAAGAAAACTAAATTGTTGCCATAAGAAAAAAAAAGTCAAAAAATTTAAACTTCGTATCGAACTCACCCTTAAATATTTTTTCGGCCAAGACCTTCAGCTCAAACTGCTTCTTATCGTCAGGAGACAAGGCCAGCCGGTACTTCCTGGCGAGGTGGGCCCGGTGCAGGCGACGGAGCTCCTCGGAGGCCTCTCGGCAGGTGGAGGGGCACGGCGGCCACGACAGGTCCAGCAGCTTGGTTGGGAGCTGCGCCGAGAGACGCTTCAGCCAGTGCACCTTGGCGACGCCGAGGAAGCGCCGGTTTTCTGGCGTCTCCGGACCGTTGCGAGTGATGAAGCCTAGCGGGTTGTGTTCCGTTACAAGCTCTGATAGAACTAACAGTTACAATAGCAGGGGGCGAGGTCGCGCTCACTCGTGGCCGCCTATCAGCCCACAGACGTCCACTGCTGGACATAGGTCTCCCCCAAGCCTCACCACAAAGATTGATTCTGCGCTGCTTGCATCCAGCGGATCCTTGTGAACCTCAATAGGTCTTTGGTTCATTTTGTGAAAGGCCTAACCACGATACGTCTTCTGGTTCATCTAAGACTTCAGAATTTGTTTCTGCGCGATGCACCGGGTGTCTAACAGAAGATGTCTAATGATATTAAGTTTGGTAGGCAATGACTTGGTTGTGCCCATGTCACTACTGACGTCCTAGACTGACGGAAGCCACTCACCATCAAATGGGCTGCACGATCCTCTGGCTTCAAAGGCAGTAAAAATATTAAGAAAAAAGTTGGCAATTTGTATGTTGTTATGTGCAAAAATAATAGTTTTTATTGCTTTATCCGGCAGGTGATCGCACCGGATCCCTCCTAGCTGCCGCTCTCCGCTGCTTCTGGTTCCTGTCGCCTATCTACTGCTGGTATAATGTATATATGATATATAGTGAAAAGAGCCTATATATCATTAGGTTTTATCAAGCGGCTTGGTGCGCAATTTACTAGTGCTAAAATTTTTAAGGTGCTGTACTGTGCATATGTGCGCAGTATCCTAGAGTATTGTTCGCAGGTGTGGAATCCGCGATATAAAATTTATATAAATAGATTGGAGACCATACAGACCAAATTCATGAGGTTTCTTCAATTTAAAACTAAAGTGTATGATCCCGACTACGAGACGAGATGTAGAAGGCATCACATACTTCCACTGGAGGAAAGACGTAGGATAGCTGATATTGTTCTTTATAGCAAAATAGCTCAGTCTGAGGTGGACTCGTCTTATCTTCTATCGTTGTTATGTTTAAGGGTGCCCCCGAGACCCATAATGCGCGAGAGCCGTCAATCATCTCGTCTCGGAGTACCTCGTGGTGGTACAAATTACAGACGTAATGCATTCTTTATAAGAGCTGTTAGCAGTTTCAATGCTCTAGCTGACTTCCCTGAACTGGACATTTTCAACACTTCTACTAAGAGTATTAGGAGAACATTAGTCAGTCGATGGTTGAATGCAAATATTTAATTAATTATTTTCTATTTACTACGTTTTTTTTTTTTTTTTTTCTTTTCTCAAACTGTTTTATTTTTGTTTTTGTTTTACGTTTTACGTTAATTATTTAATTCTAGGCGATGCGACGCCACAATCGTTTATAGTTATTTAAATGCGGAGACATTTAAATGGTGTTTAGTTGTAAGTTTAGAGTTTATATAGTTTAAGTTCACTGTTTGTCTTCCTAATAAAATAAAATAAAATAAAATAATGCTATACATTAAGCAATAAAAAAAATTCAGCATGGGCGGGTATTAGGGCCTTATCATACTAGCGCTTTGCGAGCGGCTGCGATTAAAAAATAAAATCCAAAACATTTTCGCTCCTTCCTGCGAGACCTACATTTTTTGAGTTGTAGTATCTGATACAAACTGACTTAAGACATGAAGAAGACACACGGACTGAAGTGGGGCAGGGTAGAGGTGTTGGCGTTTGTACGAGACAGTACAAAATGGCGTCTACGCTGCTATTCACTAATTCGCTAATGCGGTTTTTTTTTTGGAGTTTACGTCCTGGTATCTAGATCTTTAGGCAAAGTCTTGAGTTTCCCTTAATGTGATAAAGCCCTTAGTGTGGCCATATTACAAAACAATTAAGACTCCCAGCTTATATCTGAAGATAAGTGGACACATTCACATGATATCTGGCGGGTTCCAGTAAACGCGAGCTCGCCTGCTGATCTTCAAATAAAGGTACCTTTAATAAAAGCTCTGATGACGTCAGCGGCTTTCCTCCTCCTCTCCCTGAGTCTTTGGGCCAGGAACCTCCTCACCCACTTCTGGATGACGATGGCCGCGTTCCGCATCCGGAGGTACCTCTGCCTGAGGTAGTACCCTCGCCACCTGCTCTGGATGATGGTGGCTATGTCGTTCTTCTTTATCTGGAAGGCGTCTTCCGTTGCGAAGAGCGTCTTCGGGAATCGAACGAAGATTTTTGTACTGAAATATTCATTGATAGGGATGTTTCATGATTTTTTTTTACTGAATTCATTGGGATTCTAAATATATGGACATTGATTGTTCCCCTCTTGTAATTACTTGTATGTAATGTATTAGAAGAGCAATCAAATTGGAGTTGGGTGGGTAGTTAATGGTGACGTCATACATCCTGAAACACGAGCCCGAAGTCTGGGTAGTATCGTGTAACGCTGGTCCAATCACTGGCACGCCATCTTTTTTTTGTTTTTTTTTTTAATTCCCTTTGTAGGCCGACGGGCATACGGCCCACCTGGTGGTGAGTGGTTACCGTCGCCCATGGACTTCAGCAATGCCAGGGGCAGAGCCAAGCCGCTGCCTACCGCTTAATACTCTCCACCGGCCTCGTTTGAAGAAGGACATGTCATAGCGCTCGGGAAACACCGTGGAGGGGAGCTCATTCCATAGTCGGATGGTACGTGGCAAAAAAGACCTCTGGAAACGCACTGTGGATGACCGCAGTGGCTCCAGGTAGTATGGATGAACTCTACTCCGGTGGCGGGCGGTGCGATAGTAAAAACGAACAATTCCTCAGGGCACTCCCCATGGAACATACGGTACAAAATACAGAGGGAACCGAAGTCCCTCCGCAGACCCAGAGGTTCCAAGCGATCCGAGAGAATGGGATTATCTGGCGAGTGAGGCCTATTTTTGCGCAATCCATGCCGTTGTGATGACGTGTGTGTGAACGAAACAGAAATATACTGGTTCTGACTGGCGAAGGAATGAGACAGAACACTTCAGAAGGCGATTTTTTTATTTATCGCTTAATTGGGTGAACTAGCTATATCAACCACGTTAATGCCACCCACTTTGAGATATAAGATCTAAGGTCTCAGTATATTTACAACGGCTGCCCCACCCTTCAAACTGAAACGCATTACTGCTTCACGGCTCAAATAGGCAGGGTGGTGGTACCTACCCGCGCGGACTCACAAGACATTACCATCACTGAGAATTTCTGTTGCGTCTCAAAATGTTTATGGCAGACATTTTGTAATAATGAATGCGACCGAAGAAGACATGGTGTGTGTGTGCGTGCGTGCGTGCGTACATGCGTGCGTCCGTGCGTGTGTGTGTTTGAAAGAAAAATTTGCAGTGCCGACCCCACCTAGTGGGACAAGGTGGAGAAAAAGGAGATTTTGTAACAATGAATGTCACATAATAATACAAATTGAATAGAAGAGAGCTTAGACTATTGTTCGTGGAGCTTACTTCCCCATCCTGTATTCCTCTTTCTCGTACTGGAGGGCCTCCACCAGCCGCTGCACGCCGTCCCGCGCCGCGCCGCGGTAGTTGGGCCACGTCTCCGCGCTCAGGCACTTGTACCTGCAAGACAACGAGATGGAATGGGAGCGCCATCTACCGGGTGCTAGCTGAACACATCCAGAGACTCGCAGTTTCATTGAACCTCATCGAAACGTGTAGGAGTGTAGTGATAAACAAACTTAAAGAAAAAATTTATGTATGTGTATTGCCATAATATTGAAAAAACAATACAGTAATATATTTATAACGCAGTAGATTGGTACCACCTTATTGGAAAACGCGTTTAACTTTAATTTTTTTTTTTTTTTTTAATAAACTTTATAGATATAAAATTTAACCTACACCTTTTAATAGACAATTTTAATAAAATAATTAAATTTTGTAATAACACAATTTACACACGTGCAAACGTACGCCAAGCTAATTATGAACTGTACAAATCATTATAAATTTCACAGTACAGAAATATGTATGTGGGAAATCCCCGTGTTATACGGGGATTGAAATCGCGTAATAAAGGTACCGCGTTATAGGCGGAATTACTGTATTGATTCTCTTCTATAAAAAGAACAAAAAATTTTTTGGCTGTACAGAGAAGTCTTTGCCTAATTATACATCGATAAATAAATATAAATAAAATAGCTGAAGGTTCCGATCTAGCAAGACACTTGATGTACTGTTGCTGCCGGAAGGGCACCTTCTGGTGTGAATGGTGCTTATTTAGCAACACAATTCAGATTTCGATCTCATGTTTCAGAGTGCATAATATCATCCCCGTCGTGGTGGTTCCTCTGCAGTCTTTGTGGTCGTTCCCTCAATGCTGAGGATCGTGACTGTATGTCAATCTTCTCCACTCGGTCCGGTTCTGCGCCATATGTACCGCTCCCTGTACCTGGCCTTCAGTCACCTCCTCGAGTTGGTCCACCCATCTAGCTGGCGCTCTTCCCCTCCATTTGTCCGAGAATGATGAGTTTCTCCAGGCTGTGCAATGGGGATCGCATTATATAGATACTCCACTATACCTTTCCAAGAACGCTTCGTAAGTCCTCCTGTAAGCGAAGCCGGCGCGCCGCACCCTGAGGTTCTCCATCAGACCGAGATACTTCACCTGGTGCGAGACCAGCTTGTCGTCGAATTGCACTAGAATTTAATGTCGCAGTCTCAATTTATTGTTAATCAGTGTGCTTAGTGCGAGTTTTTTAACGTTCTCGATAGCGTAAAAGTTAACTCATATTCGTATGGAATGGAATCCTCACAGTCCGTCTGATGTTGAAGATTATCACAACTCCACAAAAAAAAAATCGTTTTTTGTCCTAACCTTTATACTAGGTTTTTCTGGTTAATTATTAACAAAAACGAAAATAAAATACCTTTTTTTTGGTATAAATTTTGCTTTCGTGATAGTTAGTAATAATAATAATAATCATTTTTTAATTTTTTTATAAATTTTAATACTTTCAAAAAAACCGCGCTATGAGACTGATGTGTTTACGTTTACACAGTGCCACTAGATGGCACTCGAGTCATAGACAACGATCAAGTGTTTTGTACAAGCCCAGAAAAACTCAAAATGTCACGAAAGTGCGAAATACGATGCTGATGCATTTTGTTTCATATGTGGTCAATTTATTAAAAATTCAAAAGCAAACTGTTTCATGCCATGTATATTTTTTTTTCGTCTAATTACGATCTAAAGTATCAAAATTTTATGCTTTGAAATCAAAGTCAAATTTGGTGTTGATCCGTGATTATTGGATCTGAGTACAATGGTTCCAAAGCCCCCGCTCATTTTGAGGTTTTTTTATTTTTTTTATTGCTTCGATGGGTGGACGAGCTCACAGCCCACCTGGTGTTAAGTGGTTACTGGAGCCCATAGACATCTACAATGTAAATGCGCCACACACCTTGAGATATAAGTTCTAAAGTCTCAGTATAGTTACAGAGGTTTGAGACTGAAACTCCTTACAGGGCTGCAGCGGTGGTAGATATTTGAGGGTAAGTAAGAGTACGTACTCGGCGCCTTGAAGTCGTTGGGCTTGATGCAGCGGATGTACGAGGGCTCCTTGCTGCTGAGGATCTTGATGAGGTCGTTCAGAGAATTCTTGAACTGAGTGATGGCGGTCTCCGGACGTTTCTTGCTCCTCAAGTTGTAGTCCTGGGTTGTGCCAGTAAAAAATATATCGATCGAAAGGCAAACGTGACTAAGCGACAATAACTGCTTTATACATAAATGATAGGCAATAACCATATTCGATGCGAAAAATTTTTTTTTTTCAGGTCTTTTTTTATTTTTATTTTTATTGCTTAGATGGATGGACAACCTGGTGTTAAGTGGTTACTGGAGCCCATAGACATCTACAACGTAAATGCGCCACCCATCTCGAGATATAAGTTCTAAGGTCTCAAGTATAGTTACAACTGCCCTACCCTTCAAACCGAAACGCATTACTGCTTCACGGCAGAAATAGGCGGGGCGGTGGTACCTACCCATGCGGACTCACAAGAGGTCCTACCACCAGTGATAACGCAAATTATAATTTTGCGGCTTTGATTTTTATTACACGATGTTATTCCTTCACCGTGGAAGCCAATCGTGAACATTTGTCTATTAAAATCATTTCAATCCTACAGCTAGATTCGTTAAAATAGATTTTTTTTTCAGGTATTTCAACTTTAAATTAGTGTACTGTAAAGTTCACGCATTGTCGCTTAGTCATAATGATTTTTTTACATATAAAATATCATTGCTTAATCACGTTTGCCTTTCAAGCGTTGATATGAAAGGTTCGATAAGGATTTTCGTGAAGCAAGTTTTCAGTTGATATTTTGAAAGCGAAAGTACATGATCTCTTTTTCAAAACACACGATAGCTTGATCGTTTTGTAGTATGTTGTGGTTTATATAATTTATTTTATTTGAAAATGTATTTCTTATCCTATGTATCTTTGTATGTATGTGAATCTATGTATTTGTTTTGGCAATGTAATTTTTATAAATTAGTATTCATTTTACTCATGTCTACTGTAATTCTTTAAATTATCGCCATGTATGAACTTTATCATAGCTACGCACTTCTTGAATGTTTCACTTCATCAACGAGGGTTAACTGGAAGAGAATGCCTGGATGACGTTAAGTTCGCCTTTGTACAATATTTTGTGCAATAAAGAATTTTCATTCGTTCATTCATTCATTCGTTCATTCATTCATTCATTCGTTCATTCATTCGTTCATTCATTCAAGGATTTCGCAATATGCTTTTTTTTACTAGGGCACACATTTTTGCGTGACATATCCCCTATGCCCATCCACGCGGTTGCTGAAGGTTACCTTGAAGCAGCAGCCGACGATGGTGTTGTCGCTGGACGCCATCAGGCTCTGGATGTCGCGGAAGAGGAGATCGTTGTTCTTCTCCAAGAAGGTGTTCACGTTGTAAGTCACTTCGCCGGCGTAGTGGACCAGGCAGAACTCCTGAGGATATGAGTGGGGGTCAGCTGGTGCGTGTCTTAGGACGTGGGACCGATTCTCCGATGACAAGACGGCGGTGCTGATCTGATCAGTACTGATAGCAATTAGGGGGACAGTAAGATAAACCTTATCTAAAAACCGAACTAATAGGGTATTAGATCAAAGTTATGAGATTATTATTGCATATGAGCAGCGGTACTTCATGCCTGTGGAAATTTTCAAGTTAATCGGGCGTTTTGAAGTCTGTCAAAATGACGTTCAAAGATTCCGTTACAAACAAACATTGGTAATAATATCCCCCCTAATTGCAGACTGTGAGGAGACGACAAAAATCGAGATGAACTGATTATATGGTGGTTGGACCTCTTGTGAGCCCGCACGGGTAGGTACCACCACCCCGCCTAATTCTGCCGTGAAGCAGTTTCGGTTTGAAGGGTGGGGCAACTGATACCTTAGAACTTATATCAAGGTGGGTGGCAGCATTTACGTTGTAGATGTCTATGGGCTAACCATTAAACATCAAGTGGGCTATGAGCTCGTCCACCTATTTGAGCAATAAATAAATAAAAATTTACATCACGGCCCATCAGCTTCTGGGTCTTGGTGTCGGATTTGCGGTGGGACTTGTAGTGCTGGTGGCCGTCCAGATGCTGGTTCAGCTTGTCGAGGAAACTCGCGTCTGTCGCGTCCCCGGGACGAAGGCACTCGTCGTCCAGTATTGATATTATACCTGGAAAACATTGACACATTGGCAATCGTAACATGTTGTGTTGTTTATTAGTGTATTGCGTATTAACTGCGCCCGTGGATTCGTGTACAGCAAAATGCAATTTTGCAACACATACTACATACAACACATACATACATTAAGGTAGGCAGCGGCTTGGTTCTGCCCGTGGCATTGCTGACGTCCATGAGCGACGGTGACCACTTACCATCAGGTGGGCCGTATGTTCGTCTGCCTACAAAGGCAAAAAAAAACCACACACACATAGATATGTACATTCTTTGTATAAACTTGTTGTTAGGAGAAGGTTTCCGAAAACGAACATTTTGTACCTAAAAAGTTGTAAATTTTGGGGAGCGCGGTATCAGCGCCGCGCCCGCGGGTTCATTGATCCGAGCATCAGCTGTTTTTGATTTTGTGTTTCATTGCTGGTTTTTTTTAAAGTGAAGTAATGTATTTTTTATGAAACTATCGTTTCATTTAGCTGCACTAACATGATGGAGCGTAAATAATGCTAATAAAACGTTTTAAATATATGATTTTTTTTAAATCAGGATCGATTTTTTTCCGTCCCATCATCCCATCAATATACATAGATCAAATCAAATCAAAAAAATTTTATTCAACATAAATGAAAGTACATACTTGTTGAACGTCAAAAGAACTACCGCCAATTCACAAGATAATTAATTATCTAATAATAATAATAATACTGGTGACTTGTGTCGTAGATACCGTCAGCAATGGCAATATTTTTCATGTAGTACTATATAATAAAAAAATGTGTAATTAATAAGATTTAAATAAATTTTGTAAAATAATAATAATAACTAATGGTATTCGTGATTTTATTAAATACGGAAGCTTCATTCTCACCCTTATGCCTGGCTTCGATAAGGTCGCAAATGATGATGTTGTTGAAGTACTCGACCGGCTCCCACTCGATGCCTTCCCGCAGGTACTCCTCCTGCTCCTGCCGCAGCGTGAGCTGGATGAACAGCTGCTGCAGCTTCTCGTTGCAGAAGTTTATGCAGAACTGCTCGAAGCTGAAATTTGATGGAGTTTTTTTTGTTTTTTTTTTTATTGCTTAAATGGGTGGACGAGCTCACAGCCCACCTGATGTTAAGTGGTTACTGGAGCCCATAGACATCTAAAACGTAAATGCCGCCACCCACCTTGAAATATGAGTTCTAAGATCTCAGTATAGTTACAACGGCTGCCCCGTCCTTCAAACCGAAACGCATTACTGCTTCACGGCAGAAATAGGCGGGGTAATACCTTCCCGTGCGGACTCACAATAGGTCCTACCACCAGGGTTTCAGTCAATGGACATTGCGTAAATATTTTATTGCTTAGTATATTTTTTGTTTTGAAAACCGACGAACAAGCGATAGATTCAGATAAACTATGGCAGGGGAACAGCCAAGCGACCGCCTTTTAATTAACCGCCATTGCCTTTAAACAAATGAAAGTGAACCTATCATAAAAAAATTATTATGTTTTTATTCTACCTATGATGATAGCCTTGAGAAGCTACTTCAGTTTCTCCTTGACGTGTAGGTGAGCTCACGGGGCTCAAATCGGGAGTGTTGCTAACACTGGCCCTAGCAAGAGCAGTGCTTCGCGGATTCTACCACCGGATCGAAAACGCGGCCCAATGAGAAGATCCGGCGAGAAACTTAGTGGACTGTGTCTGTGGGTTAATTTACTCGTCGAGCCCTTCGTCGCAAGTGTTAGCAACACTCCAGTTTGAGCCCCGTGAGCTCACCTACACGTCAAAGAGAAGCTGAAATAGCCTCTCAAGGCTATCAGCATAGGTAGGAAAAAATTCAAATCAAACTGAAAATACGACCTTCATAAAAGAACGGATGTCTCAGATCTCATTGCGCACTTAAGCTGATCAAAAATCCCTACCTGTTCTTAGGGAATATCTCGAAGCCGTATATATCCAAGATTCCTATAACAGAAGATTTAGCGTCCTTCTCGATGGGCGCAAGCGACGAGTTTAGCCTGGAGACCAGCCAGCTGAAGTGCTTGTCGTATATAGCTTTAGCCAGAGCGTCTCTAGCGTATTGAGCCTGTTCCACGTCCAGGGGTGTGCTGACGACGTCGCCGCGGGCCTCTATCGTCCTATTGGTGAGGGCCTCGCGTAATGCCGTCGCGTTCACTTTTAGGAGCTAAAAGAAAACAGAGATTCGATAGAGTCGAATATATTTTAAAATTTCTTGTTTTTATTTTTTTATTTATTTTTTATTGCTTAGATGGGTGCACGAGCTCACAGCCCACCTGGTGTTAAGTGGTTACTGAAGCCCATAGACATCTACAAAGTAAATGTGCCACCCACCTTGAGATATAAGTACTAAGGTCTCAGTATAGTTACAGCGGCTGCCCCGCCCTTCAAACCGAAACGCATTACTGCTTTACGGCAGAAATAGGCGGGGTGATGGTACCTACCCGCGCGGACTCACAAGAGGTCCTACCACCAGTAATCACGCAAATTATAATTTAGCGGGTTTGATTTTTATTACTCGATGTTATTCCTTCACCGTGGAAGTCAATCGTGAATCGTTGTTGAGTACGTATTTCATTAGAAAAATTGGTACCCGCCTGCGGGATTCGAACACAGGTGCATCGCTTCAACACGAATGCACCGGACGTCTTATCTTTTAGGCCACGGCGACTTCATAACGATTATATGTGCATTTGTGTAACAAATACATGGTAGTGTGTGCAATTTTTTTTTATATATTTAATGTATTATTGCTATATAATTTAAAAAAATATTAGTATTTTGCACTCCTTCTCTATATTCTCTATAAGTGTGAGAAATTTCATACTCCACCATCCGCGCAATTTTCGTAAAAAGGGGTACAAAGTTTTTACTTCCCGTATTAATATATAGATACAAAACGATTATTGAAAGACCATTGGTATAACATATATCTATATCTATTGGAATAAAGATAAATTTGAAATGCGATAAAATCGCAATGAGTGGTGTTACAAAGATCCGCACTATGCAAATAAAAGTAAAATGAGTAATATGTTACTATACTGAGAACTTAGAACTTACATCTCAAGGTGGGTGGTGCATTTATGTTGTAGATGTCTATGGGCTCCAGTACCCACTTAGCACCAGGTGGGCTGTGAGCTCGTCCACCAAACTAAGCAATAAAAAAATGTAGATTTCGATAAATGTGTGAAACAAAACGTATCTGGAGTATGCACATAGTTTTTTCGACGTTAGATAGCAATGTTACAAAACATAGGAATTCCGGAACTGATAACACGATTATAAACTTTAAATAAATGCGAAAGGGACCTTTTATAATATTCGTGCAATCTTTATTTAAATAATTAGCCGGGTGAATTTAAAAAAAGGTGACCGAACGCAACGCCCTTATGACGTCATTTGGGGCCAAAATGAGCAATAGGTTTTAATCACAGATTATATTATAACAATAGACAACGATTAGCTACGTTTGAAATTATTGATGTAGGTACGTTTTAAAAAAAAGAACAATTATGATATAGATTTGATGAAGTTTAAATAAGAATTACTATTTCTTTACAAATATTTTAATTGAATTAATTTTTTTAGTTAATTTAATTGACGTTCCTTAAAATTACTTTTTATACATATTATTTTGCTGGTTTCTGGATTGCGTATTATTTATTGTCCTTTGAAGTTTTTTTTCCGTTTACTGCGTAATAGTGTTTCAATATTTATTTCTATTCAATTACTTGCATTAGAATCTACAATACGGTTGCACCGAAATATATCTTCCGACCATTGTTCTATAATGTTTATGTAAATATCAACCGACGCCGTGCCATTGTGTACAGTCTAACATAATGCATTGACGTAATATCATTTTGGTATAACAATCATAACTTTTTCGATTGAATGATGAAGGATAAAAAAAAAGAAAAACTGTTCGTTATTTTAGAAATTGTACGTTCTGGATTTAAAAAATCCAATTCAGTTTCCTTTATGACGTCACGAGATCCCAAATACATAGATAATACACATAATACATACAAAAGGAGGCACTAGTCATAATTTTGACAATTATAAAAAAGAAAAAAATAATATTAATTAATCGACGCAATATTTTTTTTATTGCTTAGTTGGGTGGACGAGCTCACAGCCCACCAGGTGTTAAGTGGTTACTGGAGCCCATAGACATCTACAACGTAAGTGCGCCACCCTTCAAACCGAAACGTATTACTGCTTCACGGCAGAAATAAGCAGGGCGGTGGGTAGGTATACCCGTGCGGACTCATGAGGTCCTACCACCAGAAGTAGAAAGAATTAACCACCAGAATTAAAACTATTTGGTGATTTTCCGTGGCCATACGAGTTTGTACCATGAAGACTTTATGCATTTCGGAGGCTTCCATCCAATTCGTGTAAAGCTATTACACAAAGAAGGTACGTAGCTGATAATTTAATATGATTTGCACAGATATAATTATCAGAGTCGGACACAATGAACGTGTTTAATTATGTTCATTTATTTGCACAGATGCGTTGTGTTCTATCAGACGATTTTACAAAAGAAAAATTATCTTACATTCACAAAAAGAGTACTAACCAATGACGTTTGTAAATAAGCCTCAATATGAAGGCCTCAATATGTTTTATTCCTAAAAATTACGGCCAGACAAGTCAAGAAACATTTTTTAATTTTTTTTATTTATGATTGAAGGATTACTGGTGGAACGGAGACCTTTCCAGTTTCACCAGGAGAGGTGGGCGAGCAAAGGCTCAACCAGGAGGGGTGGGATTTGCTAACAGCTGCCCGAGCGCCTCTGAAGGAGACCTAACAACTCAAGAGCAACTGCTTCGCGAATGAATCTAAGTCAAGAAATATTGACATAATTCGTAGGCACTTGAACAGAATTGGCATTTTCCATCAGTATTATGGGTTAAATCTACAGGGTGTGTCCAAAGGGAAAGAAGGAAATTAGAATTATAGTCGAAATTCTCATGGTTAAGTCGCTGTTGCAGCACTATGATCACGGGCAGACTGATAACTGCGGGTAGAATGTTAAGAGTAGAAAAATCTAACTACCCTCTTCCTAGTCTATATTTAGATCGTACTATTGGAACTAGATGCCTCATTCCGACTCTGTACAGGAAACGACAGTTTTTCCAGGACACTGCGAATCATGTTGAGAGCTCGTTAAATAATAGAGTTTCAATGGTATGGTTAGTCCTTCTTGTAGACCACCAGTACCCTAATTCCAATTAGACCAAAATTCCTAGTATATTTATTTATTGCATAGATGTGTGGACGAGCTCACAGCCCACCTGATGTTAAGTTGTTACTGGAGCCTATAGACATCTACAACGTAAATGCGCCACCCATCTTGAGATATAAGTTCTAAGGTCTCGAGTATAGTTACAACGGCTGCCCAACCCCTAAAACTGTAACGCATTACTGCTTCACGGCAGAAATAGGCAGGGTGGTGGTACCTACCCGCGCGGACTCACAAGAGGTCCTACCACCAGTAAATACGTACATATTTGATTAGAAAAATTGGTACTCGCCTGCGGGATTCGAACACCGGTGCATCGCTAGATACGAATGCACCGGACATCTTATCCTTTGGGCCACGACGACCAATTTCAATGATATGGTTAGTCCTTCTCGTAGGCCACCAGTACCCTAAATCCAAGTGAACCAAAGTTCCTTGTTTCACTAGCTAGCGCAATCTAATAAAGAGAAATATTAACATGCTATAGTTAGCAGGACACTTACATCAGCAGCATTCCCACTGTTGGCGTCGTGGGACAGGATCTCGGCGTAGCCCTTGTCATTCTGGACGAACTTCACGTTGCCGAGATGCAGGACGCTGGCCACGATCTCAAAGATCTCCCGCTGTTCACTCTCGCCGATTTCTATGACCTTCATGGCCTCTTGTACGACACGGAATTGTTCCTGGTCGTTGGCTCTCTGACTCATGTGCGAGGTCTGCGGAGTGAGATTGGGAAGATTCAAATTAACATTAGGGGCATTGGATAAATGGGGATTTGGATGGTTTAGTGTTTTTACAGGTTTAAATGTGTAATAACGGTGGCTTATTAACTGTTTCATATTTGTGAAAGTGCACAAAAGTGGGAAAATGAAATAAAGCCGCTTGACGTAGCTTCTCGGGATTCTCCAAACATCCCACTGAAAAAATCAACAAGTAAATAACCACCATTTTACTGAGATTATATTTCATCCCATATCATCTCATCTCATTTCATTTAATGTCATCTCAGTTGATTAATGTCTCAAATTAATCATCTTCATTTAATTTCACTCTATATTATCATTTTTCATAAAAATAAGAATATACATTAAAACAAGACTTGACCTAAGGGTCAGGTCAGGTTACCAGATCATAAAATCCCATAAAAAAAAAATATAATTTTGTATGATGATTATCTATACTAATATATAAAATTACAGTAGTTTTACGGATGTTCCGTTATAAATACTGAACCATGCATCCGATTGATTTGAAACTTGGTATCCATTTAGAAAATACATGTACTTAATGGATAGGCTAATATTTATATAAGTGTTGGACTCCCTAGACCAGTTGCGGGGGCGTTAATTGATCTTTGTGGGGGTGAGGAATAATAATGTTAATTTTAAATGCCCAGCGAAGCGGGCGGTTACAGCTATTCTTTTCTAATAATGAACAGATTACTTACCGAATCGGAAGTGTACTTATAAGCTTCAGGTCTTCCTTGAAGCTTCAAATGAGTCATCAGTGACTGATCGCTGCTAGCTAGTAGCTGATAGAATATGTGGAAGTTCCTCTCGCCATGCATCTGACTGACGACCCTGGACTTTTCCAGCAGATAGTTCAGGATGTGACCACCTTCGGGCCCGCCTTCGTAGTTGAACTGGATGTCCATGTATTTGCCGAAGCGACTGGAATTGTCGTTGCGGTGCGTCTTCGCGTTACCGAACGCTTCGAGCAGCGGGTTGCTTTGTAACAGCTTATCTTTCACGTTTTCCACGTTCCGGAGGTGGTTCGTTCTGGCGGCTATGTATTCCAGAACTTTCTTCGACGCTTCCGTTTTGCCCGAGCCGGATTCGCCTGTACGGGTCAGACGGAACATTTTGTTGACAATTTTTTTTTTTTTTGTGGTTCACGCACTAATCACGTTACGTTCCTTTGCAACGGAAGTAGATAGATAAGCCTTGATATTATTATCATTGGTTACAGTGAATGTTGAATTGTTTTATTTTCAAACTGATTTTAGGTATGTGTTTTTTTTATTGCCCTTGTAGGCAGACGAGCATACGGCCCACCTGATGGTGAGTGGTTATGGTCGCCCATGGACTTCAGCAATGTCAGGGTAGAGCCAAGCCGCTACCTACCACAAACTGTTTTTTGATGGGCGTACCTTTTGGTCATTGGAAACTATCGCTATGAAAGAGTCATGAAGACTTTTACGGGCGCTTTCACTCCGTAAACATGCACCATCTATTGTATTGTTGGACTTTAGCGGGGCCAGAGGTGTCGTCAAGCCACCCTCCCCCCACTTAATAACTAAGTATCCCCTCAAAAATGGCGTTCTTAAAGTAATGAATAAATTACCTGAGATCAAAATACATTGCTCTCTGTGCTCGTAAACCAAAGACCGATAAGCGTTGTCGGCGATCGCGAAACTGAAAACAGATTTTTTTATTATGAATTTGCACCTTAAGCCTATATTTTATTTTTATTATTGCGGGTATCATCTAATAAATTTACACACGTATCCACGCTCGCTCGCACGCACGTGCACACTCACCCTCATACATACATGCACCCAAGCACGCACGCACGCACTCACACACGCGCGCGCTCACGTACCCTCAAACGCACGCAAACACGCACGCATGCACAAATACGCACGCACGCATACACACACGTTATTGATATCCTTTTCTTTTTTATTTTAGATTTTTTTAGGTTTCTAGTTATGCTGTTGAGGAGTTGTTCTGATGATTGAAGTGAAGGAAGGATAGCGTTGCCTCTGAATAATATCTACCAGTTCAAGTTTAATCATTATCATCTGTATACTAAGGAGGACCTACCGTCAAACCTATTTTTATTGTTTACGATGACTATCGAAGGATTTTACTTCAAAATTAATATAAATAAATTTATCAGTTCAATCCTATTGTTATTTAATTTCATATTTGGGTTAGATAATATTGAACGATGTAGGGTATCGTACAATACTGTGTTCTTATCACGACGATACGAGGAATACATTAATGGCTTTTGTTGATTACGTGTTCATAAAAGTTTTCGTTTAGAATTTAAAGTTTTATAAAATGCTAACGTGATAACGTCTTATGAATCAATGAACACCGGCTGCACGCACGAAAAAGTGTCACGTTCCGCCTGAGCCTGAGCGTGCAAGCGAGAGCGCGGAACAAGCGATAGAGAGGCACGATCGGCCCAAGCCCACCACGCTGCCTATTTCTGCCGTAAAGCAGTAATGCGTTTCAGTTTGAAGGGTGGGTAGCCATTGTAACTATACTGAGACCTTAGAACTTATATCTCAAGGTGGGTGGCGCATTTACGTTGTAGATGTCTATGGTCTCCAGTAACCACTTAACATCAGGTGGGTTGTGAGCTCGTGAGCTCGTTCACCCATCTAGGCAATAAATAAATAAAAGCGTTGCCTTGTGACACATTTATCTCTCTTCTCGCGTAACGTCAGACCTAGCACTTCGAATAATTCTGCTACTGATGTTATCTCGTAAAACTATCGTCCGTAAACTGATTTTACAGACAACCAATTTTTTAAGTTATTGCATAGATTTTATCGCGGGCCTTGAGCGCGGCGACTGAATCATGAAATTCCGTAACGAAAAAAACCTTACACCCTTCACTCCGCCTACCATGTAGCTCGCGTTCAACACATTCACACGTTGCGCTTGTGTAGTGTTTGTGAATAAGCCTAAACCTCTATCATAGCATACATGATTAATCGTTATGCTTTGGCTTGTAATACGTTCGGCTTGTAATACATTTCAGCCACAAATGACGTCACGCACAATGAAATAGCATACAACAAACTAAGAGTACTCATGTCTTGTATTGTTTAGTCTTATGTTGAGATGAAATTAATTGGTGACAACCGCACTTACCAGTTAAGTACGTTAGTTCGAAAAACAAATGCGTATCTCCAGAAAAAAGCTATTAATAGCAATAATTTACGGTCAAATCTACTCTATTCTTTAAGCATAAATCAGGCAGGATGCGTCACGGCAGTAAATGAGATTTTATCTATCCATTTAATCTCATAGTTCAATACTGAATATAATTCTCTTTCGGAATCACATGTTTTTTAATTAAATATTTTTGAAGGCCTGAGTGTGTCCTGTTTGTATGTTGTGTGCTTGTGTAAATGTAGTAATACTCACACGTGCGGCGGTGCCTCAAAGAATGCTTTCTTGAAGTAAAGTTTGGTTTTCTCTTCAGTGTAAATCGGTAGATTCTTGTACGGATTCACCGAGATCAGTACATTACCGATGTAAGTCTGCGGAATGAATAATAATAATTATTTTTATTTATTTATTGCCAAGATGGGTGGACGTTTTACAGTACAACGGCTGCCACACCCTTCACACCGAAACGCATTATTGCTTCACGGCAGAAATAGGCCGGTGGTACCTGCGCGTGCGGACTCACAAGACTCCTTACTACTAGTAAAATGCTTTTTTATAACATCCTTTTAAGATATTAGAAATACGTAGCTGTGTATTACTTGTAATGGGCAAAAGTGCTCACGGACTAGTTGAAGTCACCAGACGTCATACACATCTCAATGTGAATGGTAACTTAAGGTATAACGTTAGAGTCTCAATTGCCTTTTTGAATTTTTTATGGTGATCTCCCACCGAGTGGATCGACCCGAGTTTTTTCGCTGGAGACTTCAGTAGAGATTTTTTCGATTTATTCTATTACGTGATAATAGCCGTTACAAATTATAATGTCTACATCACATTTCAACCGTCCTTCGATCCAATTTGAGGGTAGGAAGCAACAAAATTGTCTATATATTTGTTAAGTCTTTTGCCTCGGGCCTCAAGGAGTCTCAAATTGTGATGTCTAAGAGCTAGAATAGATGTAGTGAGAAATTATTTTCCTTCGAGAAAACTCTGATTTTTATCGGAATACGATGACACTCGAACTGTCAATGAATGATCATATTAAATGAGTGACATTTTCATATCCATTAATATGGAACTTTATTGTTTAGCGTCAAATGTCAAAATGAATAATGTCATCGTATAATATAGAGATGTTACAACCATAACAATTATTACTTAAAACGGGATATTTACAAGTGTATTATACGAAATGAGTTCCCGATATTTTAAAGTAATAATTGTTATGGTGACCATAAAATAACTTTGCCAAAATACTCTGAGTTGTTGCTATTTTTTAATTTGCTATTTTGATGGGCACTGAAGCTATTTAAGATAGCACGATAAATACGAACTTTTCCGAAAAATTACGAAAGAAAATCTTTTCTCTATATCTATAGATATGTTGTTCTTAAAATTTCCAACCCTTCAATTACTGTTAACAAATACAATACTTACATAAATAATGTTTTCATGGAAACGTTTCTTCAAATTGTCAATGAAGGCCGCTTCGGATCGGTAGTCCTCCAGCAAAACGAAGTCTTGGACTCCGACCCGCTCGCGATGCTGCAGGGAGTGCTCCATCACGCCTTGTACGGAAACTGGCCTAATGAGCCTGCCAACAAACGAAATTGAACTTTATTGCTGAAGGGTATCCACTCATTATCGAACTGCTGTACGACCTAAGCCACTGAGTTTCTCGCCCAAAACACGTCATTACGGATCCTCCCGATCCATTAACGGTGCTTTTAAGTACCTCAAGCACCGGTCACCGTCCTCGTCGAACCCCTCGCTTGCGACAAAGGGGTCGACGAGCGAATCAACCCACAGATACAGCCCACTGAGTTTCTCGCCGGATCTTCTCAGTGGGTCGCGTTTCCGATCCGATGGTAGATTCTGAGAAGCACTGCTCTTGCTAGGGCCAGTGTTAGCAAATTCTCTCAGGTTGAGCCCTGTGAGATCGTTCACTAGTCAATCCAGTAGCGTCGAGAGGTCTTTGAGTTACAATTAGCCCCCGTCGGCTGTTTTTTTACACATAAGGGCACATCACAATATTATTACAGACTAGAGGTCCCGGCAGTAGTCGAAATTCAACTATAATTAATTGGAATTGTAAGTTTGTATACTATTATGATTGTATTTTATACTTCTATAATCACTAATTTCGCCAAGACTACACTATAAAAAATATTAACAAAGACAAACAATATTTAATCTCAATTTGACAAAAGACGTCAAGAACAAAAGTTTGACAATAAATAGTATGCATGCGTGTGTGCGTCAAATACATGGTATGTAGTGTGTGTAATGTTTTCTTTATTGATTTAATGTATCTTCTATGCATTATTTAAAAAAAATATTAGCATTGTGCACTTCTTCTCTATATTCTCTATAAGTGTGAAAAATTTCATACTCCTCCGTCCGCGCAATTTTCGTAAAAAGGGATACAAAGTTTTTGCTTCACGTATTAATATATAGATGTAACATAAATCAACGCTCACCGTAACTTTGTTATCCTTTCAAGGAGCAAGTTGTAGTATATGAAATGTATGAAGCCCATTGTACGAACTAACCACACGGATGGCTATCCGTAATGTGACGCTCGAAACTATTTAATGAGACCTAAGTTATTTGTAAGGCAATTTGATGGGAAAAACAAACATTGGAATAGCTATTTAGGGTTTAGTTTAAATAATGTTAATGTTTTGTTTGTTTAATTAGCTAAGACGCTAGCAGAGCTGTCTTAATTATAGCCCTGTCTTTCTGTTTGTATGTCTGTAGCATCGTTACTTCCGAATGTGTATCCGGGGTAGGTACTTACTGGTGGAAGGACCTCTTGTGAGTCCGCGCGGGTAGGTACCACCGCTCTACCTATTTCTGCCGTGAAGCAGTAATGCGTTTCGGTTTGAAGGGTGGGGCAGCCGTTGTAACTATACTTGAGACTTGTGTGGCGCATTTACGTTGTAGATGTCTATGGGCTCCAGTAACCCCATTAACACCAGGTGAGCTTGTCCATCGACTACGACTTTGTAGAACACATTATTAATCACAACTATTGTAGTTATGCCGCATACGTGTTCTTTTATTTAAAAAAAATTAAACAACGTCAAAAATCGTTGAAATTTTTGTTAAAGACCCGAGCGGAGCCGGAGCGGGCCGCTAGTTGTATATATATGCATTTGTAATCGTGTATAAGAAAATTTAATGCTGTCTTTTTTTTTTGTTATTTGAGTCGTCTATTATCAAAGGTGGCAATCTGTGCATTTGGACAAAAAAATGTTATTGATATTTCAATACAGATTGATTTGAATATAATCGTCTCCTTCAAAGAATACGGTTCAAAACCTGCATTAAATAAAGGTTAATAGTTAACCTGTTATTTATATAAGATGTCGTTCCGAAGAGTTTTGTGACTGCCAATGGAATACAAAGTCAATAATGCGTTTTTTTTATTTACCAATAATTGTCCAAAAGTCAGATTGCCGGCTTTGATAATAGTCGACTCATTTATTAGTATCGAGCGAGCCCGGGACCCTTTTCGCGACATTTCACCGAAATGTCACTGTCGACGATTTTCGCCATCTTTTTTGTTACCACCAAATGTCGAATTAGGTAAAAACGGATTGGTGGTATTCTTCTGTGTTACCCGACATTTGTGGTAACATGCGACACTCTTTATTATCATCCGTTTAATGTCCATGGCATTATAATAAGGTTGGCGATATTTAATGGAGATTTATTATGTAAAAATTTTGTTCAGTTATAATCATATAAGAAAACTAGCCGTACTCGCCCGCTTCGCTGGGCATTTAAAATTAACATTATTATTAGGGAGTCCAACACTGATATAAATATTAGCCTATCCATTAAGTACATGTATTTGCTACATGGATACCAAGTTTCAAGTCAATCGGATGTATGGTTCGGTAGTTATAACGGAACATCCTTAAAAACCACTGTAGATTTATATATTAGTATAGTAGATTACAATAGAACATTATAACATTACAACAGAAAAACAATATAATTTTTCTATATATTTTTATGGTTACAATTACATAAGTTTATTATTATAGGAATAGCGAACCTTCAATGTAAAACGTGTAAAACTTAAAGGTTAATGACCGCATTGATAGACGCCGCGCTCTTTCAGGGTCGTCAATAGAATTTGTCTTCGTTTTTGAGAACGGAAGTTTCTCGAAGCTCTGTGTACTGGTATGCTCGGTGGGTTAAAGTTTACGAAAACAAATAACTCAGCATCGTCGATGTCGCCCAAAACACGTCATTACAGATCCTCCCGATCCATTAACGATGCTTTTAGGCAAGCACCGGTCACCGTCCTCGTCGAACCCGTCGTTTGCGACGAAGGGCTCGACGAGCGAATTAATCCACAGACTCAGCCCACTGAGTTTCTCGCCGGATCTTCTCAGTGGGTCGCGCTTCTGATCCGCTGGTAGATTCTGCGAGGCACTGCTCTTGCTAGGGCTAGTGTTAGCGTCACTCCGGTTTGAGTCCCGTGAGCTCAACTACTAGCTAAGGTTCCGCTGAAATAGCCTCTCAAGGCTCAGCTTAGGTAGGAAAAAATAAAAATTAAAAAACTTAGCAACCCTATTTGACTATTGCACGATCTAGCCAAAAGGTCGGTCAATTTTGTTTTCGTTTCGCAATTCACGACCGTATTGTTTTGGTTCGGTTCTATTTTAAAAAGGTTTTTATGAATTTGCACCGATCGGTATCATCGTCTTATCTATTCTGCCAAAAAAATCAAAACGAAAGTCTTTGTAACCGACTCAACTATGACAGTAAATAATTCTTCATTCTTTTCTATACTATAATAATATTATAAAGAGGAAAGATTTGTTCGTTTGTTTGTATTGAATAGGCTCCGAAACTACTGAACCAATTTGAAAAATTATTTCACTGTTTGGAAGCTATACTATTCCCGAGTGATATAGGCCATAATATTTTTTGAAAAAAATTAGATATTCTTACTAAAACTCCAATAATGTAACCCTAAGTGTTAAATAATTACCTAAAATATTCTTTACATCGCGGCATCGCGTGCCCTGCGAAAACTATTGATGATAGAATAAAATAATTTAATGCGACTTTGTAGAAAACATAATTATCTACAAAAAATGTCGCGACCGCATATGTCTAACTATTAGAGTTATGCCGCAATAAGTGTTCTTATATTAAAAAAAATAAAACAACGCGGGAGCGGAGTCGGAGCGAGCCGCTAGTTGGGAATAAAACTTTAAACGATTTTCACTCGGGTTCAATTCATATTCTCAACAATTATACGTTTTCTTGTTAACTTCAGACGAGCAGCGGGTTTGAATGCGGCTGTGCGTGCTATGCGATGATACGGTATAAAACTATTTGTTCTTCGTCATTATGTAAAACCAAAAAAGGTGAAAACAAGGTTTGTTTGTAGACAAATCGCAACCCGCATTTCAATGATGAACATTGCTAAGTGATCTTGACTAATGGCGAACACTGTTTATGTTTCGTTCATGGTTATTGATTTGTTTTTTCATTGTAATACCTGATGTTGCAGGCCGGTCAGGAGAGCCGACATTAGAACGACGTTTCGGTTGTATTGGTACAGCGGCTATGCTACTCTTCATTACGGCAGTAATGGGCAGAATGGTGATTCGCGTTAATGTTGATTTCTAACAAAATCTTATGGGCCCCAGCCGGCAGCAAACAATTTTTTTAGTTAAATATATTTCGAGGGTATATCTCATCAAATATTTATAATAAAAAGGTATGTAGTAAGTTAAGTCGTTGAATACTTCGGTCGCATAGCAAGGGAAGATGGAAACAACCTCGAGAGGCTCATCGTGACCGGGGAAGTGAATGGAAAAAGGGCCCGGGGTCGCGGCATAATATGTACGTTGGTCAGACCAGTGTCCTTAGAGCGAGTTTTTTAAAGTTCTCGATAGCGTAAAAGTTAACACAAATTTGTATGGAGTTTGAACGTTTGTCTACGTTAGCCGCTAGGGGCGCTGTTCCAACTCCATACAAATTTGAGTTAACGTTTACGCTATCGAGAACGTTAAAAAACTCGCACTAAGCACACAGATCCGCACCGCTCTTGAATCTACAGTTCACAACGCCCACCATACCGCCCGAGAAAAATGGAGAAAGATCGACCCAGAGAAAGTCTTAAGTCCCTCTTTAAGAACGGTTAGCTGGTAGATAACTCAATTGCTGAGTTAAGCTCGCTATTTTATAACTTTTCGCAATTATTATATTTTATTAACTCTGTGTACAATAAAGAAGAGAAAGTGATACAGAAGGATGGTCACGACCTTCAGCATTCTTTAACACGACGCAAGGAGGAGGAGGAGGAGGAGAGTTGTAAGTTTTTTTTTTATGTTGTCGAAATAACGATTTTCCATAATTACCAAGGACCCAAATTGGAATTGTGTAAAAACAGTTAAAAATTTTGTTTTAGTTCAATTAGCCTCCATCTGTCTGACTGTACGGCTAGTTGATAAGTCAGTACACTCGTCCATTATTCGGCACTCCACGTTCATTTTCACAATTCGCATGAAAAGCACTTTCAAACATTACGGCCCGTGAAGGCTTTAGCTACGCCACAGATCG